CGCCCGTAGCATTTGCTATCCGTAGCTTTAGCAGCAGAGAGAGAGGTAGTGCCAACTCAGCGACTTTGTCGCTGTTCCTAACGCCTAGTGATGAACGTAGCTACATTTCTGAGGAGCCTTAGCTACTTTCTGTAGAACTTTCTTCTAGATATTTCCTGCAAATTAGCAACAAAATAGCCAATTTCGCTTCGAACCATTCTTTGGTTTGACGTTGTTTCAGGTGTCATCAAGGATATAAAAATTACAGATGCTTTGAATGTTACTGGTATGTAGCTCACCTTGTAAAATGTCTGACTCATGCAGAAGACTTGGGTTTGATTCTGGGTGTGAATATAGTTTATTTTATTTAGAGTTTATTTTTTACATTAATGGTATATTTTTTTACAGTAAGATGCCCAAATTTTAATTTGAGACTCGCCGAACGGCATTGAATTCACAGATAAAAAAAAAGATGTGGGTTCAACTTTCATTTTGGAACCATTTTTCAAGCAAGGGAAAGGAATGGTCTGAGCATACAGGAGGACTGACCCATCTTAAACCTTTGTCGGCTGTGCTGAAGAGAAAGGTACAGAACCAAATTATTTAATTAATTAGCTGTGCGTTCTCCTGTCCTCTGTCCTCCGGGCCACACACACACGGGACTGTCTCAGCTGTTATTTTCGTTAAGGAGTGTGCACGTACAGCATGCGTGCCTCGTGCACGAGCCTATACTATTGAAGCTGCCGTTACGCTTTTGGCCTGAGGGGGCGATCGCGAGCATAACAATTCAAAAGTCCGTAAAGTCCCTTTAAGATCTGCATTCAGATCCACCCCAGCCATGAGTTTACATTTTTACTTTTAAATCCCTTTCAGAACATGAAAGAAATAATGCAGATTTTAAAAAGTGAAAAGGTAAAAGTAAAAATACTTTTGCTCTTGCACAGAAGACTTATCAAATATTAGAGACAATTTAGTAACTACTGAGGATGACAAAGATAAAGATGTGGTCACCAATCAGCCCTATCTATTTAATCTGCTACTCAGTAAACCAATTAAACATACTATTTAGCTCTTCTAGTCCTCTAATGAATGTTTCCAGATAACTTTCCTTTGTTTTCTCTAAGGCAGGCTCTTGAAGTGATATTGTGAGACCCCCAAATGCATTTGTTTGTTTTTCTAGTAGACTTTTGAAGGATTTTTTTAAACTAATATGCTTATTTTTAAACTATTTTCAGGAGTAAATATAAAGAACAACATCATAATTTTTTAAAATCTTTTAAATAAACACTTTCTAATAAGGGTTCCTTTATTAACGTTATCAAGTTTACATTGAAACAATGTAAAGTCCTCATTGCATTGTCCACATTAAACCATTGAATCAATATCATTTTGCACCCAAATTTAATATTGAAACCATGTTGATTCATACCATTACAATTGTATTTCAAATAACCTGAATACTGAAACAACATAGAAATGTCAACAGAACTACAGATCAATGCATTTTCATTTTCATTGAAAGAATTACAATATCACTGTGTCTGTCAGGATTAATCAGTTTTGCAACATTGATTCAACATCTAGTTTGTATCAAGATTTCATTGTCAACCATTCTGATGATTCACATGGAAAATCAATATTGTATCAATATAAGCTTGCTATCTGGGTACTTAATTCATTAATTAAGCATTAACAAAGAAAGGATCCCTTTATTAATGTCCCTGTTATTGTTAATTATTAACTGTCCTTAAAGAGACAATGTGTAACTTTTACCATTCATTTCTGGAAACATCCATCAAAATTTAGTTGAAAATTAAAGAAATTAAGTCTCAGTTGTTGAAAATATTGGCGGCTTTGTAACATATAGCCATTAAAATCAGGTCTAAAATACATGGGGGTGGATCTGAGGGTGTTTCTCAATGCCAAGGAACCTTGCCTTGATGTCTTGGCCCCGCCCCGGTTGCCTAGGAGATACATCACTGGGAGCTGCCAAGACGTGTTCCAATGTTCATGTTCTACCGAGGCGTGTGTTCTCCGTTTGTTAGCCGTTTAGCTAGCTGAGCGAGAAAACATGGGAGGTGTCTTGTGGCCTAGCCTTGGTCAAAAATTACCCAGAATACACCGCAGTATTTTCAAAAGGACGGCGAATCAGAAGCTGGCAGCTACTCTGGGGACAATTTTCAAGTTTAAAAACAAATAAACTAATTTAAAATGTTTTTTAGATCCAAAGAAGTTATCTATTGTTGGTTAGTTGCAGCTTCGGTGGCTAGCGGGTAGTAACTCATTTATATTTTTAATTTAATAAACATATACACAATTTAAAAAGTAAAAGTCTTGTTATATATTTATGTTGAAACTAATACGTATAAAATATAACGTTATCTCCCGTGTCACGTGACGTTACGTGACCGCCATGGAAGCCGCGGTCACGTGATGCAAGTGTGTTCCATTTAACCATTTTCTTTGACCAAGGAAGGGCAGTGACCTCGTAAGTAAGGCGCCTGGCCTTGACATTGAGAAACACCCTAAGTCTCTGGGCGACGCCATAGCAGACGCCATGTTTCATGCTACAGAAGCCCGTGAGGACAAAATACATTTACTGATCTGTAAAAAACGGTTACAAAACTTTTGTCCTTCTGAAATGTTGTTTTACACATTTACCTCCTCACTTGTTGCCAGTGATGAAAGGGAGTCTGATGTGCTTGTTATTTTGCTCCAGTTTGCACTCCCGAGCTTTTTGACCCTAACGGGCATCCTTTGGTAAGGTCATAATCCAACACAAAAATACTGCTTGCTTGCAAAGAATTAAGTATCTACTGCCCCCTATCACCAAGAAAAATACACACTGTCACTTTAAGGTCAGGATAAAGGGCCAGGGGGTGTCTGCGTAGTAATGCATTACTTAATATTAATATTAATAATAAGCAGCTGTTAATACTTCATTTAATAGTTTATTAATGCTTAATAATGCACTAAATGCCGTTAATAAAGGGACCCTTATTTTAAAGTGTAACCAAATCCTATTTTTGTAGCCCTCAAGGACCAGTAACTTCACAATTTTGGCCCTCGTGTTGAAAAGTTTGGACACCCCAGCACTAAGGTTTATTACTTCTACAGGCTTTACTTACAATTATTTAACAAAAATCAGCAAGACCCTCCCACGTAATCAGCCCCCCCCCCCCCCCCCCCCCAAGAAACACTTTACCAAGAATTTTCTGTTGGGTATAAAGCAAGCCCAAGCCATGATGATCTCCCGCTTCATCTGCTTCAAAGCCTAATTTGAATGACTGGCAGCTTTTGTTAAAACAAACAGAGTCAAGTACTCAGTCTGCAAGTCTGCAGGGCTCTGGCTAATTATAGATAACAGGAAAACATCTCAATCACTCTGAATTACACAGTTTAATTTTGGCCAAAAACTAAATGCATGTTATATTATGCAACAGATACTGAAAGATCTTCATCAGTCAGAACAGGCTGTTGTTTGATTGAAGGTAACAAAAACCAGAGTTACACAGCCACAGATGTCTCATTGATTTTCACCAACAATGCATTCATCTACCAGCTGCAACACGTACCTATTTATAGAAACAAATAAAACAAAATCAGGGGTACGCTCAACAATATAATTATTGTTTTGTGCAACAGCTGAGGTTAAAGTGTGTAGAAATTATTTGTGACAGTCTTCTTATTTTATCCATGTTTATAATGAGATCACACATTTTAAGGCTCATATTTTACCACCAGCAACAGCTGGTCAAATAAAACGTAGAAGAAAGCTTCTGGAGACAGATTGAAAGATGTGGCGCAAGCTGTCTGCCTGTAATTTATTTTAATGTTTCAGTCTGAGTTGCTGAACATGTGACAAGTCACCTAGGTATATGACGAACACGTCTGCATTTAATGTGCCTGTTAGGTCATTACCTTTTGCTTCTTCATTAAAGATCCCACTCACATTCATGAGTGCTTCCTTTAATCAAAGGAAGCACCATTTATTACAGCAACTCCACTAAAACCTCCGACCTGGTGGTGAGGGAGGGATGAGCTGGTCTTCAGAGGAAATATTATACGATAGAAAATACGTGTCACAGAGAAGTAATCTGAGTGGCTGCAGGTGAAAATGTTAGAGGATTTAAGGGGATAAATAACCACTAAGAAATTATTTCAAAGTTATTTGGATCTAATTTATTTATTGTTAATATCATTGTTGTTGATTTTATTGTCTTGCAATCTGTAATGATTTTGAAAGGTTCGGGGTAATTATACAATTATTTTATACAAATCTAATGTGAACAAATAGACTGGCACTCCTGGAAAAGATAAATATTTAGATTTTGTTTTGCATCAGAGGTGATGTCATCAGTCTTTTAATCAGTCAGTCTGCCCGCCTGTTTAAAGAGTGAAGGGTAGTCACAGTGCTGTTTTGTATCCGAGTGTGTACCACACAGAAAGCTCAGGAAATTAGAAAGACGTTTAAAAGCTACAAGACCATCCTCTGTTCTGGTGTTGCTTTGCTGCATCTGGAATTATTCAGAGTCTGATATAATCTCAAGAATATTTAGCTAATCCTAAAACAATGTTCTGCTCACCGTCAGAAAGCTTGGCCTCAGTTTGAATCAGTTGTAGATGTTTAATAATTACTATCTGGACGTTCGGCTAAAACCCATGAGTGGTTTCTGAGATATTTTGCTAAGAGGAGAGAACAAACATTATTTTACTTTCAGCAGTACGTGGGAACCATGAATCCAGCTGGTTTAGAGGCTCTGATTACTTTTTTCTACATCATCAAGCGATAATGTTATTGTTCATTTATTCTAATTTGTGAAACAGCTTTACGTCTAGTGGATAAATCGCCACAAATTCAAACAGTAAAGAACCAAAGGAATGAATTCAGATGATAATGTTGAGCTCTTGCGGTTTTAGTCGTGTTTATTAGGATGTCTTCTCTGTTTCATTACCAAACTGTATTTTTTTATATGCAACTCTACATTTCAGATTGTTGTTTCTTTCTTCTATCACTACAGGTTCCATCTTCCCTGCATACAGACCTTCAGATACTGTCTTCAAAATCACCTTCTGGCTTGGCTACTTCAACAGCTGCATCAACCCCATCATCTACCCATGCTCCAACCAGGAGTTTAAAAAAGCCTTCCAGAGTTTACTTAGAGTTCACTGTTTGCGAAGGACTCCCAGTACGCACCACCACCACCATCTGAGTGCAAATCAGAGTCACACTCAGGGCCACAACCAGACCCTCGTGCTGAGCCTGGACAGCAGGGGGGCTTCCTGCAGACTCAGCCCCTCCTCTCCCGTAGCTCTGTCCAGAAATCCTTCCTCCAGGGACAGCAGGGAATGGAAAATCTTCTCAGAAGAAACCATCAGCAGAGGAGCTGGACCAGCTAAAACCAGTGGAGCTAAAGTGGCCAAACTCTGCAATAAAAGCCTGCGACGGGCCTGTTGCTGCATGCTCGGTGCTGGGACCCCCTCACAAGCACCCCCTCCAATCGGAGATCTTCCAACAATCAAAATCCACCAGTTGTCCTTGTCGGAAAAAGGAGATCCTGTGTAATCCCTGCAATTAATGATTATTTATTTCTCTTTTTTACATTTGCATACGAAGAATTCTTCATTTTGCTCTGCTTTAAGATTTATATTCCAAATACCTCAGCTCCGACATTGTTTTATTACTTTTGATATTACTGATACAACACCTGGCGCCGACAGAGACTCAGCTTTCTGAACAGAATGTTGCAGAATAAATCACAGGACAGGACGGGAATTATTCCATCAGTTTAGGAAACTGAGGTGGACCAACAGAGAGAAACCTTTCCAAATGTTTACATATTTTACATTTGAGGAAAACACTTGACGTATCTCAAAGTGTAAATAAAAAAGTTTTATCTATTGCATGATGTCAACAAAAGCTGGTGCTCCCACCGTACCAAACGTTTGCCTGACGCTGTTGATGTGGTGAAATCTTGTTTGTGTTTCACTCTTTCCACAAATCAAAAGATCTCATGTACTTCCCTTACAACAGATTTGTATGTTTCTTTTTTTTGTTGGGGGTGGGGGGTTGAGGACATTTTTGGACTTCTGATGTTATTTCTTTGCTTGTGAGTTGACTTACAGGATAAACTGCCTTTGAAAACTTGTAGTTCATTTATTCCCACAGTGTGGCAGATCTCTGAGCAATGGCAGATGGGTGTCTTAATATACTTCTGTGGAATTTAAACTGACCTTGTGGTTGCTGGCCTCAATCCTGACCAACCTCTTAAAAAAGCCACCAGATTTAGAGATGTCAAGATAAGTCTCACACGCTCTCAGACATTCTTCTCTCAGGCCACTCTCCTTTTCGATTGCTGTCATTTTTAATAACCGTCCACACTGAAACAGTAATGAGGCTTCGTGTGTGTGCTCTGCTTAGTGAAGTCTAAAGGTGAGAAACCGAGGGTGTTTAGTGTGAGCTCGAGACTGCAAAGTGGCTGTGTTTACGGAGAAGCATCAAAAGGCCAAGAGGACAACCACGGCCAACTGTATCGATTTATTTCCTCCTGGCTACTTGCTCCAGAGCACCGAGATGCGCTAGCGTTCCGAGTGTGGGCGGAAAGAGATGCAGTCGGGTCTATCAACCCACCCCCCGCCTTCTCTTTTCTCCGTGTGAAGTTGAGTCGTCGAAGTGGAGTAGACAGCTTTCCCTCAGGGGTGGGGGGGCACAACAGCGAGAGTGCTTGCTGAGAGTCCGCATTGTCATTGAGTGGCATGGCTGTGAACCTGTGAATTACACCATCTCTGCACAGATGCCATTAGGAAAGGGGCAACTGGTCCTGGCAATAAATTACAGGTGCCATGGGGGACTTAATTCACCCCCTTCTTTATTATCTCTATTTGCAGGAAGTGGTATCATTAGGAGCAAAAACCCTCAGCCGACAAATAGCCCACCTGTGTGCACAATCTTCCCAACGTAATAGCTGTAATGAGCACCGTGATTATATCAGCAGATGCAGAGTGGAGCAGAGCAGGAGCGTCCTTCATGTGAGTCTCACTGATTTGTGATAGGTTACGTTTTATTTACTGAGTCATTTTTACAGTGTATTTGTTCAGTTAGATGACAATACCAAATCCACAAGCAGACATGCATTTTAGGTGCTTATTGATGTGGAGTGGACTGTCTGTCGTAGCAGATCAATTATAGGAGGGAGTGTGGTCTTATAATAGCAAGTCTCTGCGCTTCGCTGGATGGAAAGCCTAGCAAGTGTCGGTGACTCATGTTTGCACACTTCTTACGAGAGGCTTCCGACTGGTAAAACCTTCCACTCCTCTTTTCATTTCCCACTTTTTTCTGTCTTTTAAAAAAAATGTCATCATTGGGTTAAAGATGCTGAAATGAATGGGCTCCCCACTGTTGAATCAGCTCGTTATGTTCTGATTGGATTAGTGTCAAGCAGCCAAGTGACTTCAGCGGATCGCTGAACTTTGAAGATGGCGTGCGCTCAGCGTATAGCTGGTATTTGGTTCTGCTCACTTGACTGGAAGCACCTGTGTCGGTGAGGAGTAATTAAAAAGCAGCAGTTAAGCAGAGGAGCAACACAACTCTGTGCCACCACCTAGTGATGAGGGGTGGATCTAAAACTGATGTTTGACAGGACAAATGCAACTGTACCCTTCTAACCAGAAATCAAACACACATGAGGATACTGAAGACACATCAGTTCTATTTAACAAATTAAAATTGGTTGTTTTTAACATGAACGCTAGAAAATCTTTAATTGAACAACGTCAATTAATAGTGACCATCTGCTCTACCTACCTCATTTATAAACTTGTTAGATCAAATAAACATGTTGATGCATTACTATCCCATATTTCTCATCACTCTAAATAGGTTGGTTGTTTTGCTAAAAGGTTCTGAAACTGACTGAATCATACCTGCATAATCCTTGTGATGTCTGCTCCATACATTACATCTGATGTAGTGTTTCAGTGCTGCAGCAGATTGAGGTTTGAGGCACCTGGGCCAGTTTATCACAGTGATAAAAACCTTAACTTTTTTCAGTCTGGTGCAGCAGAACACAAATTCACACCTTCACTACAGATGATTCCTACTCTGTGATTTTCTCTGCAGATTACATTGTTAAAAGGGGACATTAGCACCATTAGCATATTTTTGTGTTGCTATATAGGCCCCTTCTGCCTCAATAAATACTCCAAACATGAAAAACAAATGCCATCCATCAGTTTTCTGTCCAGAATTTGAATTTGTTTTAGGAATTATGTTCCTAAAACAAAACATTTCAAAAATCCCCCCATGTATCCCTCCTGGATATCAGTTTATCAGTGCATTGATCCTTTGGACCTACGTCCCCAGATCACATGGATCCACTGTATCAAACGGCAAAAGCGTAGTAAAAAGTGAGTGAAACGAGTTTTGAACAAAGGGGGAAAATAGTGCCTGAGACTGTTATGTGATGTTTAGCATGGCTTCAACTACTTTATCCCACTTCAGTTATCGAACGAAGTAGCACATCTAGGTGGGGCAACAGTAAATTACTGGAGCATTGAACTCTAGAAAAAATAGCAACTGAAGTTTAGTCTGGTTTCCACTGGTTCAAGCCCAGTTCACTTGTGGGAAGATTTAGCACACCTAGACGGGGCTCATAGAGAGCGGTGTACCTTACGAAGGTTAGCTTACGTTCTCTGCTGCTGTTCACTAGCCTGGAGAAAAATTTTAATGACCTCAGCTGACTTTGAACTGACTGCTGACTTGGGAGAGCTGCGATCCAAAGCTGTGGAAAGAACGCAGTTCATATCCCCACCCAAAATAATATGATGTGAATCCATATTAGACAGTTGTGAAAAAAAATTGTTAAAGAAAACAGAATCATCCCAGTTCGGGGCATAAATGTTTACCAAAATAACTGGAACTCCATGAAGACAGCCCACCACCATCACATAACGTCCTGCAGGGTCAGACTCTACTTTAGACAATATAAAAGGAACCCTTCTGTTTGTAAGAATAGCAACCCCCCTCGTCTTAGAATTGAAATTAGAATGGTACATTTGTCCAATCCAGCCCCCCTTCAACCTACATTGATCAGCAACACGGAGATGGGTTTCTTGGAGATAAACAATATCAGCTTTCTGATTATTAAGATGTACAAGAACCTTTTTTCGTTTCACAGGATGGTTTAACGATTCGACATTCCAGCTAACAAATTTTACTGAGCAGCCCATACCATGTCCTATAGTATTAACGTTAGCCATGTTTAATTATAGAAAGAGAGGCAGTTCAAAATCACTTTTATAACAGGATCTTGGACTTCACACCAGCAGCTTATGATATAACCCATTAATAGAGGCCTAGTGGGTACCCCAATAATCCCAACCCAGTCATCAACAAGAACATGACGACCAAAACCCCCACCTTGTAATAAATCACACATAAATGTGGATATTGGGAAACCACTAAATGAACAGCAATATGGCCCCAGCCCACTCTCCTTAATATGGAATGTGCATTAATATTGCAGAACTGAAACTACAATGAGCAACAGTGTATATCAGTCAGTATTCAATCAATCAATCAATCAATCAATCAAAGCTTTATTTATAAAGCGCCTTCCGCAACCCTGTCAGGAAGCCCAAAGCGCTGAACATTGTACAGTTGTATATAAATATATTGAACAAATCAACAATAAAAGAAATTCAAATTACAAAATACAAATTACAAAATACAAAATGGAAATTACAAGATAGATGAAACAGTATTGTTTTATACATATGAAAATAAATTTTGAACCCACCTCCTCATCAATTGGGTGTCCACAGAACAGAGAAAGAAAACAGGAGGGAAGAGGGTGATATCTCTGATAATAAAAACGTGATGAGAAGTGTGATTATTGTCCTCCCGTGGGTTCGTCCGCCACAATGGTGCTCCTCACGTAGGCCATCGCCCTCTCCGGATTCTGAAACTCTCTGGTGTCCCCTTTGAACGAGATGTGGAGACGTGCAGGGAATAGTATTCCACAACGGACATCTCGATTGCTCCACAGCAGATTCCTGACGTCAATTAACGCAGCACGGGCCTTAGCAACCCTTGCGGTATAGTCTGGAAAAATTGCAACCGGCTGCCGGCAGCTGGCCTCGTTCTCGAGCACGTTGCATCTAAGCAGTCTTGGTAATAATGTAACTTGGTTTGCCATTTGGCTTCTTTGGTGCAAGACCTCTGTGTGAGCGGTCAATCAGGATCTCTTTCTCCAACTGCAGAACTTCTTTCAACATCTTGGAAACTGAAGCAGTGGTGCTCGAGCCTGCTTCCTCTGCGATTCCCACAATACGAATATTGCACCGCCGCAGCCTCCCTTCGATATCTTCATTCTTGTGCTTAAGTTCTGTAACTTCCTGCTTCAGCTCAGAGACAGCTGTTTGCAACATGGTTACTTCATCAGAGCATGTTGTTAGCCATTCCTCCACACTGACAACCGTGGCTTTAACAGAATCCACATCAGAGCGGACAGTCGATCTGAGTTCCTTTAGCTCACCCCGATTGCATTTAGCTCGTCAGATAGAACACATTTCAGTTCAGACCTAATAATTAAAGCAATGTCCGCTCTCAGTGAGGTGAGGACTTCCGCTTTCAGGGACTCCGCATCCATCTTTCCCTCCGGGGCCGGAGCAGGCATCTGGTCCGGCCGAGCTGGCGAAGGCGGCACCTACGAGCTAGCTCCCTCACTAGCCGCTGGGCCTGTGTACTTGTATTTCAGGAGCTTACTCGCCATTTACTGAATGCCCACACTCCAAACTTAGAATATTACTGTCTATAGAGGTTACAAATTTGTGCACATGTTGGATATGCCACATGAGCTAAATGGAACAGAGTTTTAGGAGAGTTTAGGCAGGAGCTCCGTACCATGCGTCTACGCAATTGCTGGCTCACTAGCGCCCCCCCCCCCCAATATGTCATTTTAACAAACGTATCCTACATTGGAACAATATCATTGTGATAATCATCTTGCATCAGTGGACGGTAACGCACATCCTCCTTTGTGAAATATCAATCCTAAATAATATAAATATCAAATTATCATTTCAGGTCAGTCACACTCAGTCCTCGTCTTCCTCAAGAAATATATGAATGTTAACGTTACCTGGTGAAATGTGTTCACTGCAAATACAAAAACACTTAAGAGGGTTGCTAGTCTGTTTAAATGATCACTGCGGTCTTACAAGTGGTGTGACGTCACATGTAAAGGGTCAACAGCAGCCTGAGTGGGGTGTGGGTGGGCGTGTCCAGCTCCAGCTTTTTTTCTTAAGTGACAAAACCCTGAAATGGCTCATTATGGAAGGCGCTGAAACTGTCGAGAATAAAACTGCTGAAATTGCTTTGGGCAAGAGGGATTTTATGCAAAGAACTTAAGAAATAAAGTCATAACATGTCTTCTTTAAGTATTTTTTGTTAAAATTAAACTTTTTTTTTTTTTTTTTTACTTCAGTAATGCATCTTTCCAGAGATGTATCAGGGGTCCAGGGTGGGCCAGTACCACCCAGACAGCAAGCTTAGCCACTCTGTGCCCCTGTTAAGAGAAAAACCCTAATTTTTGTGATTATTTCACCCACTGAGATGTGGAACTGTGAATGCATTTATGTAAAGTAGAAGAGATTCGGAGACAAATATTTAAATGTTGTCACTGAAATGTTTAACCAAGGGATCAAAGTAATTTTTTCTAAACATTTATACTTTGAAACTTGTTTAAAGCATTATTGTGCATTCCTTTAAATATAAACACAACCTTGAAATACTTACAGGTAACATTTTCTTACAAATGTATGATTCCCAAATTAAGTGAAAAAGTTCCTGGTTTTAGATCCCAGATCGGGACATATGAAGCTTTTTCCCATTGATACAGCTGGACGGGCATGTAAATTTGTGCAGATGTTGCATGTAAATTAAATATTACATGTCATTTGGCTTTTTTGGTCCGTGGTTCAAATTTAAAATGCACAAATACAGCTTTACTCTTAAATAAGTAGTTATTAGCCTGGCTAACCACCTGATGTAAGTAAATATACATATACATAGACATGCAGAGCAAAATCTTTTTGTTATTGCTGTGGTTGGTTTAGATTTGTAGCCTAGTAGCGCTTATCTTTAAAGGTATAAACAAGCTGTCAGATGTCCAATTTCAGGAAATAGTCTAATTTTTCTTGGATTACAAATACTTCCTGAGAACAAACCAAGAAACTGCATTTAATTAAAACCCCAGAAAGTTAATTTCTCTGCACAAGAAAAACAAAACAAAAAGCAACATGTGTGACATTTTATTAATTTAATCCACTGAAGTCAACACAGAGAAGGTCAAAAGCTAACAGGACCGATGACTCCATCCCAACTCTGGTGTCTTAGAAAAACGTACATGAGCATCAACAGCTGGTGGAGGGCAGCAAACAACATCGTGCTCAACATCACAAACTCAAGAACCACTTACTTCCAAGAAAGTTCCCCAAACGTTAATCACTTCACGTTAAAGATCTGCATACAAAACCTACACATGACAAGGCAATGAAGAGAAAGAATCCTGCATCTTGTTGAATGACTGACAACCTGTTGTGTTCTGGTGAAAACGGGTAAGTGAGTCTGGTGTTAATGATGGTGGGGTGAGTAGATAAGGGAACAATATATAGCATCTGGTACTTCATTCACAACACTAACACCAAGAACAGCGGACACGTCGTCGGCACACTGTGGGGAATTTCAAATACTTACAGAAAATGTCTCATCAGGTCTCAAAAAAGTATCCTCTGCCTTTAAAGAGCCTTCATAGATACAGTGTGCTGTCAATATATTACACAACAGGCAGGCAAGTAGTTCAGTATGTCACATAAACATATCAACATATCCAGTACAAAGTTGCAATCTCACATCCACATTTACTATTTGGATTGTTACAGGTGCAAAACAATTTTCGGTTCAAACTGGGTGAACGGTGACTCCGCCCTCGCTGTTGAAAATACCGAGCTTACACGACTGCTGCGTGGACATCATCTGCTCGGCTACGGCAAAGGTCAGATAGCACCAGGTGTAGAGAGGTTGTCGACAAAACAGCAAAAAAAAAACTCCCAACAAACATCACTGTGGCATCCATCCGTTTCCTGAACGACAAACACCGGTCAGACTATTGGAAGCTTGTTGCCTTGACAACGAGGGCAAACGTTTGTGTTTCTCAGATGAAAATGCCACAAGTGAGCTGTTCCAATCCCCCCAATCTCAGCGCAACGGTCAGTAAGTGGTTTGACCCTGAAATACCCCTTTTCCCTCCTTCAGTGCAGTTAGGGCTTTTAAAAATGACCTCCTGAAACACAAACCATCCATTTAAATACAAAAAAGGAAAGAGGAAGTGCTGTCACGCAAAAGGAAGATGTGTGAACTGCTCTGTTAAAATGCTGAAACTAAAAACAAACACTGCCAGCTTCAGGAACAATAACAGTTAATAATTTTAAGAAAACAAAATTAAACAAAATCAGATTAGTTAGGATGTTTTGAGTTTTCGTTCAACAATGTGGAATTATTTGGTCTAAAACAATTTACCAGCAACTAATTTCATCTACAGCAAGAAAAACTATATTCTGCAGCATCAGCGTAAAATGTAATCTAGTTTAGTTAAAAAAAATAAATAAATAAAAAAAAAAGCACTGGATCATTTTTATTATGATGTGAACTCCCGATAAAATAATAATTTTGTTATTGTGGATGGCTGCATTTTAAATAAAAGTGGACAAAAAATCTAAATATTCAGAAATACAAAAAATTGTAAACAAAATGTTGGGAAACTGCCTCGGTCGGCATTTTGATCCATTGGGAAAAGTTTAAACATGTACAGCAAAAATTAAATAAAAACAAACCATGTAAACAAATCAATCAGCAAAAAAAGCTGCTTCAATTCACTTCATCCTTCCTCATTACGGGAATATGGCATAAAAAGATGAAACAACATGGAATAGTGCTTGGTTTCTTCTTCAGAATGAGGTGATGTGGTGGTAATGTGTGGATAAAAATGGACAGCGAGGGAGTGGGGGGTGCACGGGAAGTCAGAGGTGGTGATGGATGTGAGGTGTCATTAATAACTGTGACCTCTGGTCTGGTGTGTCACCCCCCCTCCAGGCTTGGTTCAGCAGGTCGCTTAGCCAAGGCTGGTGATGTTGGCTTTTCCACCAGGGGGCGCCACAATGCGCTGAGTAGTGCGACGGGGAACATTGTCATCGATTTGAGCACCTTAAAATCAAAAACACTATGAAGCAGAGCTGAGCAGAACACCTACGAGGAGTTGCGTGTGTCCACTCACTCACCGGACAGACTGAAGCCAGACTGGTGAAGGTTACGCACGGGCTGATGGGTAAATTGCTGCTGTTGCTGCTGCTGCTTGACGGGGGACGTCTTCCCTGAGGAGACCATGGACATCACCTTGGGAGTCACCGTCACCTCACACACCGGCCCGTCGTACTGGCCCCTGGGGACTCCTCTCAGCTCAGCCACCTAAATAAACAGGTCAGTTCATCAGACTAGAAGCACTTCACCTGTCCTCTACAGCAGAATTAAACCAGAATCTCACTGGAGAAAACGTGCATGCAAATTAAAATGTAACTAAACTGGCTTTAGAACATCTCATAGGAGGTAGATCCACATGAACTGAAGACACACCCTGCTGCGAGCCTTTATCCTCTTGTACACGTGGTCAGAGAAGGGCTTACGGCTGATGTAGCGTCCACAGCCCTCCGTGGTGTGAAGGGTACCCTCCTCCAACACAATCTTACCTTGGCTGATCACCACCAGAGGACCTCCACGCACCTCTGTCCCCTCAAAAATGTTATACTCAACAGCCTGTGGGAGGAGCAGATAGGATCAGACCAAGGAACTATAATGTTGGACTCAAATCGAGCTAAATACGTGTCTGACCAGGTTGTGGCTCTTGGCTGAGATGATCTTTGTCATATCTGGGTCCCACAGCACGAGGTCGGCGTCGGAGCCCACAGCGATGCGGCCTTTACGGGGGAACAGGTTGAAGATCTTGGCTGCGTTTGTGCTCGTTACCGCCACAAACTGGTTCTCATCCATCTTTCCAGTCACCTGAACAGAAAAGGGAAACACGTATTTACATGGTAGCACACAAATGCTCGCAAAGCATTCTGCTATAGAACGAGGTGAAATTAGGTCACATATAGCTCACCACACATTTATCCCAGATTAGAGACATCCTCTCCTCAGTGCCATTGGTACCCTCTGGGATCATGGTGAAGTCGTCTTTGCCCACAGCACGTTGGGAAGTCTGGAAAGTGCAGTGAGCGCTACCGGTCACCTGCAGGTCCCCGCTAGAAAGAAAAGTAACAATATGTGCTTATTAAAATAGCAACATGCATTTTTTTTATATAACTTATAGTTTCTGACATGTGACAGAATTATGCAATGTGGATACTAAGACGTTCAGCAGGGCAGATTTGAAATGCAGCATGTCAGCTGTGTTCCAGCTATCTTTAGGTCTGCGCCCAGACTGCTTACCATGACAGCAGAGAGCTGAGGTGGTCGGGGGTGGTGGGATCAGGGCTGAGAGGCGGAGAGGTGACAAAGGCTGCTGCCTTGGCCCAGTTCTTACTCCAGTAATGGGTACCATCTGTCCCCAAGCTGGCAGATATGGGCTCCCCGTAAACCACAGCGCCTGCAGGAGAAGGCAGGTTCCTGACAGAGAACAAAGCAGAAGCAAACAAAGTTCTGATAAAAGAAAAAGTTTCTTTCTTTACCCTTTTTCCTGGCGAGAGCAATGACATCAGCCGCACTCTTGCTCATCACCTTGGTGATGTAGAGGGGGCAGTTAGTCTGATTAGCTATGGTGATGGAGCGATTGACTGCTTCAGCCTCCACCTGTGAACAAAGAGAAGAACAGAGGTCAGAAACACTTTTAAGATCTTTCTGTTGTAGAGCAGAACAGGAATAGTTACCTCTTCTGGACGGCTTAGCACATGACCTTCTGGACCGGTGATCCCCAACTCAAGTATTCGCTTCTGCTCCTAAAATAGTTATAAACAAAAAAGAATTTCAATCTGAAACAGAAACATGTGCCTACGAGTCAAACTTCACTTTGTAGCTCCCTCGCCTCAGCAATGATGTCTCCGTTCTCAGCGTGCACCTGAGCGATGGCTCCAAGGTCTCGGATGACACTGAACACCTCGTAGATCTGCGAGAACAGAGATCCACATGCGTCAGCTGTTCGGGTTAGCAACGGCATCGCACACAGGCAAGAAATCAGCACACAGACAAATCAGCAGAGATGCCACTGAGGCCCACCGCGAAGCCAAAGCATACCTGAGAGTCAGAAAGTTGGAAAACATCCTTATAAGCCAAATAGACCAGGAAAGAGTTGACACCTGAAGATAGAAGACTTATGAGAGAAAACTGCCAAAAGGCGGAATAAAAAGAGCAAAAGAAGAAGAGAAATGCGGAGCAAAAGAGAAAGGTAAAACTGAAGAATAAAGCTGAAATAATCAGGATTTTTCTTCCTAATAGATGTTTTTCCCCACATGCAGAACAAAAGAAACAGAAGTCAGCATCACCTACATACCATGATCCTTCACTAGCATCTCCATCTCCTCCTGCGTGCCTCTGTTCCACTCAGTGATGTCCACGTGCAGAGAATAGTCACAGCAGGACTTCCCATCAGCCCACTCTCTCCACTGTTTGAAGGAAGCAACCAGGCTGACCCCTGGCTCCGGGACCACATGGTCGACTACAGAACGTAAACAAACAAGTTACAATTTCTGTGTGTCTGAAAGAGTTTATGAACCACTAAATCTCATCGTGCATTTGGAGGCACGTTCATCTGCGAGGTAACAATCAAACTGACTGCAACACAAAACTCTGCGTAACTGATCATGGTCGTGCCCCCGGCCAGAGCAGCGCGGGAGCCTTGGAAGAAGTCATCTGCTGCCACCATGCCTCGGTCGGGCATCTGGAAGCGGGTGTGAACATCGATGCCTCCAGGCATCACCATCCGCCCGTGAGCCTCGATGATCTTAACCCCACCAGGAACAATCAGGTTGTCTCCAATTTGCCTGAAAGGAATTGAAACAAACAAATTTGAAAATGAAGCCTCAGTATAAGCGGATGGCTGCTTATACTGAGCCAGGATCCTCCAGAGGTTTCTTCCTGTTAAAAGGGAGTTTTCCTCTCCACTGTCGCTACATGCTTGCTTAGTATGAGGATTGCTGTAAAGACAATGACACTAGTCAGTGACTCGATGCAACCTGTTGGGTTCCTTAAACTCATGTATTGGAATGTTTACTTTGTGAAGTGCCTTGAGACGACTCTTGTCGTGACTTGGTGCTATAGGGAGCCTAAGTCACGCCCATCTACTTACGGACCACAGGTCCCCGAAAGAATGACAAAATGAATGCAAGTCAATAGGGCTAAAAACGCTATTTTCCAATTCCGCTTGTTTTGTGCCATGGATTTCACATATGATGTCCATGAATTTTAAAGACGCATTTAGATACCAAGTACATTCTTATTTTTGAACGGGGGGGAAATGCTATTTTAGGTTTTGTGTGAAAATAAGTCCAGGACTACAAATGCGCTTCACGAAAGTGACGTCATCGAACCAGACACGGAGAAAACTGAGGAAAAATGGCTGTAAGTTCAGCAAACTTCCCACAGGAGGAAAGAGCCACCATAAATCTGGTCATGTGGTAAGTAGCAGCTACGTTAGGGGAGAGGAGATTATGTGGTGGCGTGGCGTCACATAAACGACGTGCCGATTTCTGGTGTGTATTCAAGCAGTTACGAACTTTTACAAGCCGATAAATCTCAAAGTACGTGACTGGCGTGGTCGAAAAACCCATTACTAGTTTTCATTTAAATTGCAGTACAACATATGTGTGATCCAAGGTCTAAGGCAAAGCGGATTAGAAAATAGCCTTTTTATCCCTGTTGACTTGCATTTTTTCCCCTTCTTCCGGGGACCCATGAGCCGACCAGAAAGGGAGGAGACTTATACTATATACTAAAGGCTCCCTATATAAATAAACTGAATAGAATTCCTCTGAGTTGGTACTGGGGGATTAAAAACAGCAGCGGCATTAATCTTCAAGCAGGACTTACTTGATGACTCCATCCTCCATGTAGATGTCAGCCAAGAAGGACTGATCATCGTTTACAATCTTTGCTCCTTTGATGAGAAGACGGTCACTCTGAAAAGAGGTTTGACCTCAAATTAATCATCATTCACTCAACAACAAAAAAACATATATTTTAACCACTTGATCCAGTAAAACAGCAGATTTTATTACAGATTTGTCTTGAACCTGTTTTTCTATAAACCAATCCAGTGGATATTCAACCCAATAATAATGATTACTCCACATGACTCATCACTCATAAAACATGATGTGAAACAAGAAGCAGGCATTTGTGCAGGAACACAAACTTCAAGTGGCACAATTAGCTCCTCCTGAACAAGATGAAAGGACAGCGCACCAGGCTGGCCTATTTCTCCTACATCTACAAGGGCCTCTTAAGAAGAGATCATGAAAACAAAGGCCTTACGATGAGAAATACTTTGTTTTTGCTCAGAGTGGATGGACATGGACAGTGGGGGAATTATAGTTGGACTGACATGATTTAGTCCACTGCCTGTCCTTAAGTGGGTCATATAAGTCTTTAACTGTGCAGACCGACTGCGCTGAGGTACAAGAACATGAGAGTGCTTTTCTCAACCTTCCAGCTATAGGAAAATGCAAATAACACATGGAAGAGGGCGGCGTGCACATCGATGCCTCCAGGCATCACCATCCGCCTGTGAGCATCAATGATAATAAGTTTTATTACTTTACAGATGAACTTTGGTGAATAATCCAGTGATCTCTGATCATTAAACTGAGCAGATTAGCTGAAGCTCTGTGAAGTGAAAAGCCAAAGGTCAAGCAAAACAAAAACAGACTAAAAAAGAAAACAGGAACTGTTTAAGACAGTGGTATCAGTGGTAAAAAAACAGCAACATAATGAAGAAAAACAAGGAAATATATTCAGCAAGAATGCTGCAAATTATTAGCCTGACAAGCCATCCTATACATGTGACATGCAGAGAAAATAATTTTGCTTTGGCAAATGACGGTCTAGATTCTAGGATATTAAGTTATATCACTTGTAGCAAAATGAATTGATAAAATTAAGCATACTCCAGCTATTTCTGGCTAGGATGACAATAATTACAGATCATTTGACACAAAAACACACCGTTTCTACTTTAAAGACAATATGAGGCAATTCAGATCAACCTATGTATTTGGCTCAAATCACAGTGAGATGATCTGCTTAATCCTGGATTTAACATCAGGGTTTCAGGGTGATGACGGAAGATTTACCTTGACCTACAGACGATCAACCTGAACTTCTGTCTGTGCCAAACTAAAGGCAGCTTCCATCCATGTTTCAGTTGATCTACCTTTAACAGATACACGATAAAAGCCTATTGGTGGATATGCTCCTCTGACCTACTTTACCATAAACCTGTCACTACATTCCAACTACATTTACCCTTTGTTCATAATTAAACACACATAATCAGCTCTGTATGGGGGGTTTAAACTGGATGGGTTTCTTTCATAGGATTCTCAAGAGGATGCCAAGTAGACGATGATAGCGAAGCAGGCTGATTGTTCCACCGCGAGGTGAAGATGCTAATGAATAAATGGGGGAAGAGTTCATATTTGCAGCTCTTTTGGAGCCTTTCAAATAAAACACCAAAGCTGTATAGAGTGAAACATTATTGTTTTTTGTTCATTCGTGATCTCTACTTTGTTAATGTAGAGCAAAGCTGCTACCACAGGGTAACGGCTAGCTAAACGCTATAGCCTGGATCCTGAAGCACGCACCGCTGTTTCACACCTCTCAGCCAGAAAAGGACAGAAATGTCTACACAATGCGGTAATACTCACTGTAATTCGCGGGATGTTCTTCTTTCCTTGATAACCGGACATTTTGAAGCTCCCTCAGGCTGAAACAGCTGCCAACTGCCTCTCGGCTAACGCTAGCTACAGATGAAAGGATGAATGGATGCTCTGCTTTGATGGCCAGTCGACGCCCTGGCTGGTGTCTGCTTCAGGAAATATCTTACAGCGGGTAGGTGGGTTTTCACAGTACAGCCAAATAAATGATGCGAAACGAGAGGTTATTTATTTGTGGGACAGGGCTATATTTAGATTTAATGTTAGAAAAGGTCTCTGAACACCAGACAACCATCAACAAGGCAAGGGCCACGAAAAGGGACGGCGCATGCGCAGTGCACTGCTCCTCCTTGCATCTTCACAGATCTAAGTTTGTGACGTTCAGTAGACGCAACTCGTTCAGCTCGCCATCAGGGTTATCAGAGAGAAAAAAAACACTTATATTTTTTATTTTAAATAGAAGTATGTTTTAAATAGATGTAAGAACTTCTCTCCTTCGTGATAAGGTTATCTGGATAATCTGTGTTGTACCTACTTCATTCTAGGGAAAACAGATTGCATGAATTAAAAGGTTAGTAGGGCACCTGGGAATCAAACCATATAAACTAGAATGATTCAAAGTTACAAAACAACATCAAAGTGTGTGTTAATATTTCACATCAGAAAAACATTGACAACACTTCATTATTTTTTCACTTTAGTGTAGCCTGTCATCTAATTCATTTATTCATTGTTTTAAATTCTGATGTTAATTTAAATAAACATTTCCTGATTCAGAAAAAGATTGTCTGCCTTCTCCGGGTCAGAGATGAGGTCATGCCCCAAGTGGAGGAGTTTAAGTATCTCGGGGTCTTGTTCACGAGTGAGGGAAAACTGGAGAGTGAGATCGATAGGCGGATTGGTGCTGCATCTGCAGTGATACAGGCATTATACCGGTCTGTTGTGGTGAAGAGAGAGCTGAGTCAGAAGGCGAAGCTCTCGATTTACTTCCTGGTGAGGTTTTCCGGGCACATCCAACCGGAAGGAGGCCTAAAGGTAGACCCAGGACACGTTGGAGGGACTATGTCTCTCACCTGGCCAGGGAACGCCTTGGGATTTCCCCGGAGGAGCTGGCCCAGGCTGGGGGACACACATTCACGGCAAGGGGTCCTTCCAGTATTATGGCCCTCGCCTCTGGAACAAGCTGCCAGAGGACCTCAGGGCCGCAGAGAACGTTCATGTTTTTAAGTCCAGGCTCAAGACCCGTCTTTTTAGGTTAGCTTTTATCTAAATATTTACTACAGTTTTATTTCTCGTTTTACATGATTATATTTTATTGCTTGCTTTGCATGTTTTGTATGATTATATTTTAGCATTGTTTTCATTATTTAATATTATTATTTTACTGTCTATATGATTTTATTTATTACTTATTTTCTAACTTTTGTCCCTTATATTAGCTCTTTTATTATATTTTTACTCATTTTAATCCAGTGTTTCCTCTGTAGGGGCCCTCTGCCCCGGGAGCGGTGGTCGACTGTAGCTTCCTGGGCGCTCTATAGGTGGGGGTCTATGCTCCCCCTCCACTGAGCGCCCTGACTTAGTGTGGAAGACCTGATGCTGCCGGGGCAGACGGCTCCTCTGATGGCATTTCCTTGCCTTACCTTACTTGGCTCATCTGGACTCAGCCAAATATAATTTTTACTTGTGTGTGTGTGTGCTTGCATAGGTCTGTTAATGTTTTTAACCTGTTATGGGAATCTGGGGTCATTTTGTAAAGCACTTTGAGTAGCACTTTGTTTGAAAAGCGCTTTATAAGTAAATCTGATTGGTTGATTGATTGGGGAGAGGGAAGTCTGGGCCTCTTGACTTTGGCTACTGCCCCCACGACCCGACTCTGGATGAGCGGATGAAAATGGATGGATGGATTTCCTAAGTCTGGGCATATTTGTTTATACTGACGTGGATGAAGTTGTGATGTATTTCAGATTCACTCAGCAGGGGTTGACCCTTGTATAATGTGTAATGTATAAATAACGTTTTTTTGTAAGCTGAATAAATAATAGGTGAGAATCATTTAAATTCATGGTTACAAATTGTAAAAGCATCATTTGCTACTTGCGCTATAGCTTTTAGAATAAAAGTACAAGTTTATATGAATATTTCTACCTATCTATTATCCCAGCTTTACCTCTAAACTGCAGTGCAACTGACTGATCCTTAATGGATTTGAGGACATCATCTACATATGAAACTAATAACCCATACAAATTAGAAGCACCACTCTTAGCTAATTTTGTAGATTTAAAGAAAGTAACAGTTCTGGGATTTTATTTTTAAGGTTCTTTAACACACACACACACACACACACACACGCACGCATACACTGATTAGCAACAGAAAAGACTGCATAGATGTTAATTGTAGGTTTTTCTCACAGCAATGTTTTAATCTATTGAGACCTTTTTGTACTTGAAATAAACACTCCTTTTTAATAATGACATTATGGGTTACAATTAGTTTAATATGCAACATTTCGATTGATTTCTGTGTTTTGCCTTCAAAATGTTTCAAAGCAGCATTGCAAAGGCCCACAATCAGTCATTTTATGTACTTCTATTTCAACCAATATATGCAGTAAAAACTTCAACTGAATTCCTAAATATTCCAAATTGCACTACAATTTCCTGCACATAAGCCAAACAAAAGATTTGAGCTCTTAAAAGTAAAATCGCAAATATATATATATTTAAAGATGGATTATATCATAGTGTGTGTGTGTATACACATATATACACATACACACACACATATATGCATATATATACGTATATATACACACATGTATATGTATGTATATATATATATATATATATATATATATACATACATATATATGTGTGTGTAAATATATACATATGTATATATACATATATATACATATATATATATGTATATATATTCAAATACATTATATATATATATATATATATATATATATACATACATACATACATATATATATACATACATACATATATATGTATATATATATTCAAATACATATATATATATACACACACACACACACACTATGATATAATCCATCTTAAATAGCATTAGTTATGCACTAATGTATAGAAATACATGCATTTCCTTTAGAGAAAAGCGTTCTGTTATATTTCTGGATGTTTCACAGACACTTGACATCATTTACCTTTTACATATGAAAGTACTGTACCGTGAAATCTACATTAAAGTCAGACAATACTTTCATAGGAGGCACCAAAAAGACCCATCATGCCGATTTCTGCCCCTGAAGCTTCAGCATCTCAGCTAAAAAAATACCTACATTACTGCAACAATGCTTCATAGAATCAGCAATAATTTTAACAAATAGTACAATGATTATAGGTGTCGATATTCTGAAACAGATCACAGCTTAAATAGTTTTTCCAAGTTTAAAAAAAAAACCTAAACTCACAAACAATAAAACAAAGATAAATCACCAATGTGCAGTGGTGTATGATAAAAATTTGGCACTTTGATACTGCTGTTATAAGTTTAACAACAGGATATATAGGAAAATACTACATGAAAAGGCATATGGCCTGGAATAACACCTTCCACTCTAAGTTCCATAAAACACTCCAATAATCAAATTTTGTAGCTAGATAACAGTTCGGTTAAACTTCTAGATCCTCAAAGAAATAAACAAATAGCTCTGAACAGAAACCCTCTGAGGTCACCAACCTTCAAAAGTTTGCTGCTATCTTGAACTCATCCATCATGTGCAACATTATTCAGCTTTGACAGCAGTTTCATGCATTTTAAATGTTCTGGTCCACCAGTTTATGGAGTTCCCCATTAGTTCATGCTGTAGTTTTAGTCTAGATTACTGATTCACATGTTTTGCTTTTCTAAACTCCGCAGGAGAACTGCAGCTAAGGGAAGAGGCCAAATTTGTGATGCCTTCACATGATGACACAACAGGAAACCTTCACCTGATATATCAGATCCTGTTGCCTATGTCTGAGGTGGATTCGAGTCAGTAACTGCATATACAAAAACATGGCTCCGTGTCAAAATCTGATGGGAGTGCAAGCATAAAATGTGTGTAACTACATCTACAATGTGACACCAGTTAAAGCAGGTTGGACAGGACACGTGGGCAGAAGCAGACAGAGAGCTGGACTACAGGAGGGTGGATGAGAGGCTTGGAGGCAGGAGAACATCCAGGCACCACTTCGACTGTTCAGTAGGAGCTGGTGGAGGCTGTGGCAATTCTCTTCCCGATATACACCCTGGGGGAAAAATTCAAAAACATGCATGAAATGTGATCAGCTGACAATTAAAGGCCTAGTGCTCAAACCAGCTGCTTTTTCAAAGTCGTTAGTTCAGTAACACACACACACACACTACATGCATCCTGAAAATTGTTAACACACATCTCTGCAGGACAGAAGTGCCCAAACTCAGATTTACCCAAGGCCAATGCACAGGATGTGTGAGATGAGCAGGGATGGGATGAAAACTTTGAGAAATTCAGCAGAGAAGACTCCCCCTTTCTTCATGGCTCCACTCTTTCGCATACTCAGGGAACGGCGAGGGTGCCTGAAGTGGAACTCCCTGAGGGGAATAATTACACAACCAGTTATGTTTAAGAACTAACGGGAACAATGTCCTGATGTGCATTTGATCATTTCTGGGGTGTTCGTTTCTGTACTTGGGTGGAATGTTTTCAGGTCTACTAGACCAGTCTGCGACGCGGTCTCTTTCTTTGCTCATCAAGATGTCATCGTCTCTGTCCCTCTCTGTACTGTCTTCATCTGACTGGAGGTGTGAAGACAACACAATGAGACAAAAAAAAAACAGATAAAGTTTGAACTCATACAAGAAAACTAGGTAGCTTTACCTGACTATCTCTGGGGCTGGACATCTCCACATCAAATGTTATTAGTCCTTCATCCCGTCCTGGACTTGGGGGCCTGTGAGGACTGTCAGCATGTTGGTATAAACCACATTTAGTAAATTAACAATCCATTTAGTTTACACTCATTTGACCAGTTAGTCGCCGTGGCCTTTACCTATCACAGGAGGAATTACTTGGACTGGATTCATGCTGTGCATCCAGAAGAATCCTTTCCATATCTCCATTGTGGATGGAGGAAGATGATGGTACATGCTCAAGTCCTCCAATCAGGGTTTCATCACTTTCAGTCACTTCCAAGGTTTGGTGAGACTGATTCATGCCTGTGTTTGCATTTATTTGGTCTGCAGCAGCTGTAGTTAGCTGGCTGCTCTGCCTGCTTTGTGCCTCCTCTGTGTTTCCATTCAGCTCCAGCTCTACCCAGGAGCCTTGGGAAAAGGAGACACAGGTGCCAAATGGGAGGGGGAAAGGATTGTTGTGCTTGAATGCAAACTGATAGTGCATCATCTAGACACAAATCTGTTTTCTTTTAAATGAAATTATCTGGCCTACATTATCTGCACCACTGACATCGAGTGTGCATTTCTTTGTGTCACTATCCCAGTTATGCAATCTTCTAAAGCCTGCAGAGGTCGTAAGTACAGAATTACCCACTGGATACTCACGTTTGCTGTTTTGAGCAGATTTGCAATCAAACTTAAATCCTGTGGTTAAGAACTGGTGAAATCTGGATCTACAGCAAACATTCTGACCAGTTTGACATCATGCTCTCTTTGGCGCTTACATAACTCGCGTGCAGCGGGCCAACCTGCCCAGACTTGCTGCTGCGTAATAAGCAAAGCTCAGATAGTCCTGTTTTTAACCCTGATTTATTTCTTATATACTTAAAAACTGCAAGACTTGAGACTAATTATACACTTGGTGATTTATCCCTTGCGATATAATTCACCCGCAGGCAAATGAGATAACATCTAAATACATATTTCTCCGACGAATTTAGTTATTTGCCAAAATAAAGCACTTTCAATCTATAGGTAACCATTCGATATCCAGCTAATACTCTCTGTGTTTTGCACAAGTTAAGGATAAATTCTAACAGTGGCAAGAAATATTATATTTGCATCGCCTTTTGTCCCAAACTTGTTTTCATTTTGGCTAAAGCTCGCCCAACCCAGGCTCGTGAAAATGATTGGTGTGCTGGGCTGTCAATCAAAAATGCATCGTAACACTATTGGCTACTTTCTGCGACGTAAAACTAAATGATCTCCGCCCCCACCCGAAGAAAAGGAAATTCCACCCGCAGTCCAACTTTTACATTAAACCGTTCATTAAAACAATGTCCGACAATGACAGCTTTAATAAAGATGACAGAAAGTAGCGTTAATAAAGAGCAGCTCGCGCTAACTGCTGGCACTACGTACCCTGAAGTCCAGGCTCTCCATTATTGTTTTGAGGAGATGAAGCGGTGGACATGTTGACTACAGTTCTTAGCGTTCAACATGAAAGTGCGCATGCGCACAGTTGACACAAGAAAACATTTGTTCAGAAATAGTCGTATTTTGCTAATTTAAATCAAATGTGCCACCATGCCCAGTAAATACACGAGTTTGAACAGCTACATCCAAGGCAAGTAATTGGTGTTTTTACAGAGTTATCAAATTATCTTGGCAGAGCCGGTGTGGCCCTAGGCATTCTCACTTTAAACCCAAACGAAGGACCCCACACCACCAGCGCCCCCAAGGAGCGCCAAGATAACACGTAGATTTTTAAAATAACTTTAAATAACATGAACTAAATATTAAACTTGGATAAATTATTTATATGAAATTTTGTATAGTATAATTTATATAGTACCTTGTGGTTTTACTTCGTAGTGATTGCACAATTTAATTTAAATTAGTTCCAAATTTTAAGAACAAAAAACAGTAAACAGCTTGTTTACTGTAATTTCAGTGCTTTTCTGCTGATTTTACTTTCAAACAGTTTAATATACCACAATTTAATATCTCATAGTAAACCTTGGGGTTCCTCAAAGGCTTGGGCTAGTCCTAGATCTTGGGCCCTCTTCTTCTGGCTCTTGGAGAGTACAGACACTTTTTTCCTCCTCTCCTCCCTATCTTATCCCAAGGCTCTTTGTCTGTCTTTGGGTGTACGACGCTTCTGCATTTATTTTTTGGAAACTGGAAATTATTAAAAATGGACCTGGTCAGTTGGTCTCTCAACACGATTTACATTTTTTTTTCAGTGATGAGAAAGGGAGAAGGGGCTCCCGGATGCCCCTCTGGGACAGAGCCAGCTGGGCATATCATGGACTCCTAGAAACAGTGGAACCTGATCTGCCTCTCTCCACTGTCTGTAGAGGATTCTGAAGACGTCTGGATATTCGTGGTGTTGGTGTCAGGTTTTGTGCTGTTTGGTCTGAGCGGTTACCTGGCTTACCGGAAAATGAATGATCTTTCGAGGAATATTGGCTCAATCCCGGAGCTCAGGGATGGATTACACCGCGCTGGGAACGCACAAACTCATATAATTGTCGAGATGAGTCGTAAGCTTGGAACTTTGGCTGAGATTCAGGCTTTGGCACAGAAGGTGGATTCGATCAAAGAGAATTGACAGATCAGTACGGTTAGGAATAGATTAATTTACGTCATTATTGGATCGAGAGGGGTTGGAGATCAACAGAACTTTAAGGCAGAGAGGAAATTATCTCAGTCTGGCCCAAAACAAGTTCTTATCTGAATCTGGTGCCCTTGAGCCTGTGAGGCTGAAGTGATTATTCCCCCTCAGAAGAAATGTGGAATGCAGTGGTCGCCATGGCAACTCTGTCTCCCTATTCCAGCCTGGGCAGCACTGAGACCGGTGAAGGTCGTGGAATCATTTCCAGGAGTCACTGTGCTTTCTAACCTTATTTCCTCCCTCCCCTGTCCAAACAGAGGTGACGAGCACTGCTCATTGCAGCTGTATGCACTGATGTGAGGATAGTCCCCAACCCTACCTCCCCACCTAGTGGACACTTATGTTGTGTTGTCTGAAGTCTGTTGCATTTCTGTCTGAGGTGTTTTTTGCGTAGCAAAGCTGCCCTCCCTGTGGAGGGTAACTCTGAAGTGCCTGTTTTTTCCTCCACCTGACTCAATCCTTATATAAACCCTCTGATTACTATTAAAGTAGCGCAACTCGGGTTGCGAATGACCACAGTCACCAATTCTTGTCATGTGTCTTGCCCAGGTATGTCTGATCTCTGAATTGTGTGTACTGAAACTCTAATTTCCCTCTGGGATTAATAAAGTATCTTACAATTGAATTAAACAAATAGTTGCAACTTCTTTGTTATGTTCATACTGTATTTGTTTTCTGATTTCGTTTTCTTTAATTCTTCGTTGTACACAGTGTGATGAGTTTGTTTTTACCTTTGCCGACATGTTTTGACGTCAATGCCGTCTTCGTCAAGGTCACTTCCTTTTATCAGCAGGCAAAGGAGGACGATATTGTCCTCTGCTGCCCGCGGATAAAAGGAAGTAACGCCACCAACATGTCTGCAAAGGTAAAAACAAACCCTCATCACACTGTGTACAACAAAGAACTAAAGAAAACAAAAAAAAAGGTTTTAAGTTATTACTCATTCTTCAAGACAGATATATTAATTGGAGAACACTTTTGTAGACAACGTATGCATCGGCACAATAGTTACACTGTAACCGATTCAAAGGAAGTGAAGATCTTTATTACCTTTTACCTAAATAGTACTTTATTTAATTTGACAAACATTGCTTTACAATGAACCATATGTAGTTATTCCCAAACAGATCAGCAAAACTCTTGAAAAGTAAAAAAAAATAAAATACACAAAAATAAAAGTGCATTTTGTTTTAATTCCTGCAATACATCATAGACGTATAATGCTGCTGTAAAAACAAAACTCCAACATAGCTAAATCTCTTGAACGTTTTAGATGTGAAAACCCCTGGGGTTATGTACTAAAGCAGTTAAACAAACCTGGGTTTAAAAAGATTCACCTGTAAATTAGGTCGTACTTGTCTGAATCCTGAAAAGCTCTTTTCCTGATGGTGTACGGATTAGGTTACAGCAGCAGAAATTTCCCCTGAGCAGTCTCCCGTCTGGCATGCCAGCAAGCCTAAGAAATTGATTATCTTTATTTTTTTCTCTTGATGCTATAAGGCAACAGGGTTATCGTGGACATCGTTTTTACATCACAGCTTTGAACAGCCGCTAGTGTACAACACCAGGGAGTATTGCTGGGCACTTCAATATAAAAAAGAAAACGCCCGTTTTGACATATGTTCATAAATCTTTGACATTGTGTGAAAAACAGCCGCCCCCTACACAACCTCACATCAAGAAAACATTGGCTGCACAAATCAAAACAGAAATGCTTCTGATTACCAACAGACACAACCCAGTGCCCTGAGACACTGAACATTTTTAAATTTACCCATGATCCTATTGAGACAAGCTGTTATTTTATGAGTGACACACATGTGATCTGCCGGACAAATAAACTTGCGAATACACTTTAATCTTGGCAAACATTTAGTTTTCATAGAAAAAACAGTGGTTCAATTCCATCCCACTTTCCCCTAAGACAAGACAGTGACTGGCATGGAGCCATTTTAAATAGACAACCACCTTTATAGTACAGCAATCTGCATATGGAGTGCGTCACAGATTCTCATCGTAGAGGAGACCAACACGTCACAGGAGAGAAACCATTTCCTAATTCAAAAACCTTTCTGATATAGAGGCCCCAGTCTTTCACAGTCAACAAAGTTGTTCATTAAGCAAAACTATGGCACATAACTCCAAATCTATCCCAGAACCTATTAAATAAGATGCACAAAAACAAAAGGTTAGTTGGCAAAAATACAGTAATCGTGGGCATCAACCAGGATCTCTGGACAACTATTTGATGTCACAAAATTCTCTACTTACTGAACAAAAGTATCTGCCAGAATAAACAAAAAAAAACAAAAAAAAAAAAAACAGATCTCATTAAACAAAGGGATACGGGACTTTCAAACTTTCACGAACCCGATACAAATGGGTGGAGAAACTACAGTGATCAGACTGTAACGCTATTGCTTTAGTTCCTACAAAAATAAATCAGCTATGGCGATATTCTTTTAATTGGGTACAGTACAAAACTATCTAGATAAGTATAAAATAAATCTAGAAGCAGAAATTAAACCCAAATGGTAAAGCAATTTGTTAGCAACAACATAGCATGCTTAGTGGGTAAGCTGATGTTTACGATTCTGTTATGGTGCAACAGAACCCAGGAGAACAGAACCTGGCATTTAAGCAATTAACCTGAGTTTTCTAAAGGTTTCTACACATGTGCCAGGCTGAACAGCTGGAGTAAGGACACCTTTGTCTGTAGGACAGTTTTAAAGACCTACAGTGTGTGTAGGATTGGTTACTTTGGCATGATCAACTCCCACATCTCGAGTAATCTGCAACTCCCTTCTAGTGTCAACGTTTCATTAATCTGTCAGCAGAGTGTTTCAGCTTCACACCCGAATGAGACTGGTTAAATCCCAACAGGAAATCACTATCATGTTATTTGGAAAGACCTACAGGCATGTGTAGTTGGTACATTAAATAACTTTTCAATGGAATCCATTAATGACAGGAAAGCCCAAACTTTACTACAAAACCTTGTAAAACACATTTTCTTATGTCAGTCTTCAGCTTAAATAATGGAAAAACCTCACAACGCTAAATCTGGACATCGTTTTCATTTTCGAGAATATTATTCCATGATGAAAACATACTCTAAAAGTAACTTGTTCATTGACAAAATGCTGTTGTTGTGGAGTGTCCCATGCCTAAAAAAGGGTAAATACACTTGAATTACCGCTTTTTCTTCTGCAAAAATGTTACACCTAAACAAATACTTACTAAAAGGCAACAAGAAGCAATGTAATAAAATGTCAGCTTCAAGTAAGGAGACTTTCTTCCAGTAGAGATGAATGTGGAACTTTAGTGGCTTTGAAGTACAAATTTGGTCTGAGAAACGATTTGGACAAACGTTAGCAGGTTTATCAGCTGCACAATGAGCTAAACAGGACAAGACATTAAGACTTTTGAATAAGTAATAGGAAAATGATGGTGAGGACTTGGCAACTTGACAGTGACTGGGCATAAAACGTGTTGACAGCTTCCAAGAACAGTGTTTAAGGCCAGAAACAAAGTGAGAAAGACGTCAAAACAGCAGAATGAACAGCTGGAGTATTCACAAACATTATAGCTACAAAACACAAACTGGTAGCTATAACCAATGAATTAAATATGACACTATGGCACAATCAAATGATAAAACAAATATTTCCTTTTAGTCTGAGATGTAGTGGAGTGGAAGCTCAGTGAATGGAGTGCTCCTAAAGAAAGAACACCACTAAATAACACCTGTTATAGCCTGGTTGGATGCTTGTTGTTGATACAACCATCTGTTGTTTACAAGATTAGCCTTGTCACACACACCTTTAGGGACAAGTTTTTATCAAGATTTGGAGGTTTAGCAAAAGGAATAAAAAAAAAAAGTTTTAGAGAACCAGGGCTCAAGAGGAAACTGTGATCCGAGGATATAACAACTAGTTCATCTTATTCTCAAAGATGTAAAGATTGTTGATGGTGGCCACAGCAATGATGTTGTCCAGAGGATGCCAAGCAGTGTGAAGGATCTTCTTGTTAAAGTCCAAACTGTCTACACTGATCTCGTCCTTTTTGCGTTTCCCACCTGTGCTTACTTTGCGAGGCTTCAGGACCGACTGTGGCTTGCTGTTTTCCCGCGAGGCCTCGAAGGTCATGTCCTGCCTGTAGCCTCTGTCGAACATTCTGAAGAAGTTGTTGTAGGAGCCCGTCATCACAACGCTGAGGAAAAGATACAAGTCTCTGAGCATTAGTTTCAGTATTTGTTTTGAACCTAATCTGGAAAAATGTCTGAAAGCTTGTTTTTGTTACAGTTAAACAAAATGACATGCAGTCTAGTGATCTGCTCCGACACCAGCAGGAGACAAAGACAGGGTTGCTGAGTCAAGGGAGGTTTTCACCCTGTTGTTGACTTTCTAATATAGCAGATTACATCAACATTACTACAGCAGCGTAGAAGATAAATTCTGTTGACAGGACAAATGCAAATAAAAATAGCAAGGGCTCACCTGTCATTTCCATTCCAACAGCATTCAAACTTGTCAAAGATGCAGTCGTTCTCATAAAGTGAACACAACTTACTCCTGAGATATTCATGCACCTGTTCAAACACAACAATCAGAAAGTAACATTTCGTTTAATCACGTTAAGAAAACACCAAAGTGTGCCCACGTCATCAGTTACAGACCTGATATGTCTCTACTGGTCGCGTTTCCATGTTGAGATCCCAAACTTTGACCGACAAGTAGTCACGTGTCATCATGTAGCGCCCGCTGTGGCTGAACTTCACATCAGAGATGGATGAGATGATCTCAGAAAAGAACGAACGGTTGTTTGGATCTTCAGGCTCCTCAAACACTTAAAAGGCAAACACATTCATGTTGATAGATTATACAGATGTAAACTGAATAACAAGGGCAGGAAACAGTTTCTAAATAACCGTGCAACAGTTTAAAAATTTCAGTGCTGAAAAGATGAATGACTTAATCAGAGTAAGAAAAAGAAATTAAATAAAACACTTTAAAATGTGCAAAAAGCTAAATTTGGCAGCAGACCTGCAGCACAAACACAGACTTACATTTTGTGTGTCTGTCACACAGAGCTGATGCCCTCATGTCACACAAACGGATGGTTCCCTTGCTGCTGCTGTAAACAAAGGTGTTGCACTGGTTAGGGTGAAACTCTGCCGCTGTGATCACTTCTGTCAGCTCCTCCATGTTGGCAGGTTTAATGTCAACAATATCTGAAGAACTCAGGTTAAGGTGAAAGCCAAAACAGATATTTCTACAACTGAAAAGAAAATTCTTATACAAACTTAGATGTACAAATGAACACTGCGGTTTTTAATGTTGCTCCTGTGGAATGTGCACTGTTTTGAGATTGCATCTTACTATGAATGCTTCAGAAAATCCTGCAGAGTTCGTACTTATGCTTCCTCACTTGCAGACATTCCTGCATGGATCCTTTCTCCTCCTGCAGCTAAATCAGGAAATTGTGTTTGAAAAATCTTTTGATGCCGATTCCAGATCAAAGGTAGGAAAACGATTAGAAAGAGCAAAAAATTGTTAAAAACTTTGAGGATTCAAAAAAAGAAAAAACTCAAATCTTAGCTTGGAGACATCTAGTGGTGATATAAAAATATGACAGGCGTGGTTGTTGGTGCCAGACGGGCCGGTCTGAGTATTTCACAGTCTGCTCAGTTACTGGGATCTTCACGCACAACCATTTCTAGGGATTACAAAGAATGGCGTGAAAAGGGAAAAACATCCAGTATGCAGCAGTCCTGTGGGCGAAAATGCCTTGTTGATGCTAGAGGTCAGAGGAGAATGGGCCGACTGATTCAAGCTGATAGAAGGGCAACTTTGCCTGAAATAAGCACTCGTTACAACCGAGGAATGCAGCAAAGAATTTGTGAAGCACCAACACGCACAACCTTGAGGCGGAGGGGCTACAACAGCAGAAGACCCCACCGGGTACCATTCATCTCCACTACAAATAGTAATGAAGAGGCTACAATTGGCACGAGCTCACCAAAATTGGACAGTTGAAGACTAGAAAAATGTTGCCTGGTCTGATGAGTCTCGATTTCTGTTGAGACATTCAAATGGTAGAGTCAGAATTTGGCATAAAGAGAATGAGAGCATGGATCCATCATGCCTTGTTACCACTGTGCAGGCTGGTGGTGGTGGTGTGATGGTGTAGGGGGTGTTTTCTTGGCACACTTTAGGCCCCTTAGTGCCAAATGGGCTTGGTTTAAATCCCACAGGCTACCTGAGCATTGTTTCTGACCATGTACCCATCCTCTGATGGCTACTTCCATCAGGATAATGCACCATGTCATAAAGCTCCAATCATTTCTAATTGGTTTCTTGAACATGACAATGAGTTTACTGTACTACAATGGCCCCCACAGTCACCAGATCTCAACCCGATAGAGCATCTTTGGGATGTGGTGGAACGGGAGTTTCGTGCCCTGGAAGTGCATCCCACAAATCTTCATCAACAGCAAGATGCTATCCTATCAATATGGGCCAACATTTCTAAAGAATGCTTTCAGCACCTTGTTGAATCAATGCCATGTAGAATTAAAGGGACTTTACGGTGTTTTGAATTTTTATGCTCGCGAATGCTCCCTCAGGTCAAAAGCGTAACGGCAGCTTCAATAGTAGGCTCGTGCACGAGGCGCGCATGCTGTACGTGCACACTCCTTAACGAAAATAACAGCTGAGACAGTCCCGAGTGTGTGTGTGTGTGTGGCCCGGAGGACAGAGGACAGGACAACATGCAGCTAATTAATTAAATGATTTGGTTCTGTACCTTTCTCTTCAGCACAGCCAACAAAGGTTTATGATGGGTCAGTCTTCCTGCATGCTCAGATAATTCCCTTCCCTTGCTTGAAAAATTGCTCCAAAATGAAAGTTGAACCCACATCTTTTTTATCTGTGAATTCAATGCCGTTCGGTGAGTCTCAAATAAAAATTTGAGCATCTTACTGTAAAAAAATATACCATCAATGTAAAAAATAAACTCTTAACTAAACCATATTCACATTGAGAATCAAGCCCGGGTCTTCTGCACGAGAGTCCAACATCTTACTAGGTGAGCTAAAGCACCAGTGACGTCATTTTTATCTGTAACATTTATATCGTTGATAACAGCTGAAACAATGGTCAAAGAACGGTTCGGAGCGAAAATGGCTATTTTGTTGCTAATTTGCAGGAAATATCTAGAAGAAAGTAGCTAAGGGTCCTCAGAAATGTAGCTAGGTTTATCACTAGGCGTTAGGAACAGCGACAAAGTCGCTGAGTTGGCACTACCTCTCTCTCTGCTGCTAAAGCTACTGATGGCAAATGCTACGGGCGATGCCTGAGCGTGAATGTTCAAGAAGCAGCCTGCTCGACCCGAGCAGCTCTCTTTTTCTTTGATTTTACAGAAAAACAGGCAATCACAGTAAAAATGTCAGGGCTCATTCTACAGGACCAGGGCATTGCAGGAGAATGTATGAAGAAGAAATTTATTATTTCTATGCATGTTTTGGCTGTCAAACTTCCATAATACCCCTTTAAGGCAGTTCTGAAGGTGAAAGTGGGTCAAACACCATATTAGTATGTTCCTAATAATCCTTTAGGTGATTGTAATACATGATACTTATTCCATGCAAAGTCAGATATTTCAGGACTTTGTTATATTTGTGATGATTATGGCTTTCAGCTTATGAAAACCCCACATTCAGAAATCTCAAATGAATCCAAAACACCTGCAAAGGGTTCCTGAGCCTTTAGACAGTCTCTCAGTCTAAGTTGGATCACTGAAATAAACAGACTTTTGTACCATATTCTAATTTTGAGTTTCACCTGTATACTTGACCACATAATCAATAATACTTGCACACAAAAATCCATCCCTACATACAGCAGGTTTCAGAGGCTCAACAATTCGTCCATTTTTCATTCTCATGAAACAACCAACAGAAAAATAAATCATGTAAAGGTGAGAATTAAACATAAAAAGGATACTAAAGCTGCGATCGGTGATCTCCAAGTGCCAAAGGTTAATGCGCAAGTCATCTGCAGACAAATAGGTCTCATGATCACTGTTTACTGATATGGAGTTGATGTGATAGGTGTGAGCATTTGCAAACACTCGTCTGGGACTGGCTTCCACCATCAGATCCATGGGCCGCAGCACCGGTACCTGAGGAAGCATGTGGAACGAGAGTTAGCAATTATATAAAAATTATAATATTAAAATTACTTCATGTAGCTGAAAGAGAAAATGGCAGATGTGTTAAACTACTTGTGTAAAAAAAATAGCACCGAGGCTAATAACCCAAGCCCCCAAAAATGAAATCAATAAAGGGAGAATGATTACAATTCACTCTGTGCGATAAGAACGGTTCAATACACACCCGTAGTGTTGTGACAGAATTGGGATCTCTGTATCGCCCGTCTTCTTCTTTTAAATTATAGCCCTCTGCTCTCTTGTCACGCTCACTGATTTTCCACAGTTTTATAGTTTTATCTGTCGGCGAGAAACAGCAGAGGTCAGGCATCTTAAGCAGTGGAAAAAATGTGCTGCAATCATGACTACTTGACCACTATAGTGAATCTCTTGTTGGCAGACAAGAAAGTGACACAGACAGTGTGTCTCAAATTCAGTCCCACTGTAGTGAATGAAAGCAGAGTGGGTCTGGTAGCTCACTAACCATTTGTTGATAAAAGAAACTGTGCAGCATTCTTCTGAGGTAACCATCGAATCTTGTTGATCTTCTCCTCGATCTCAAGACTTTTCAAATAGTCAAACTCGGGCTCGTGGCTCTGGAAGGTGCTGTAAACATTGTACTCTCCTCTGCACTGTGCCTGATTCTTACTCTGAACAAAAACACACAAAGTAAATCAGACTTTACTTCAGGTAGAATTAAGATTAAAGAAAAAATATGTTGAGAACAACTACTTTTTGTGTGTCTTTGAGACTCAGGCTACTCAGTTCCTAACTAAATAAAACAGTAAATAATGAAGTTATCAACTGTGAAAAACATGCAATCAGGTGCGTTATTTCACCAATCACCTACCTCTGGCTCCTGTTGAAAGATGACAACACGCCCCCCCTTGTCACCAGTGGCAAGCAGCTCACCAGAGTGATTGAATTCAACAGTAGATATGATGTCAGCTGTCAACATAGCATAGTTATTAACAACAACAATTAATAACGTACAAAACTACTCCATAAAATTGCTGATGGGGTGTGCTAGCTTCAGTCTCCCACCTGTTATCGTAAAACCTGAATGAAACATAGTGGAAACTAAACAGATCAGTGAAAACTAAATGCAACACTTAAACCACTTTTCATCTGGAGCTGTTCTCAGTAATCACATAGTGGCACTATTCTGAGCTGGTTCCAGTCCAAACCCAACACATACAGAGCCTGATACGACCTGACCCGTACAGTCCATTCAATAAAACAAAAGGAGACAGACTGGGGCAGAACATGTTCTCAGAGTGAAGCTTTACTGTAAACAACTCTCCAGGCTTTTATATGTAAATATGTCTGTTATGTATTATGTAGGCACATTTTAGCACTCCCTTCACTTTGCAGTAAATATGATGAAACACTCAACGAATCTAAAGCAGTAAAACACCCAAACAGGACTGGATTCTTTCAACTTTAGTGCAAACATAACAACGCTCAAACGAGTTATTTGATGATGTGCACACACATCACATCAGAAATCAGTGCAAGCACCAATACGCACTTACCTTCTGCTACATCATCGTCCATCGCGCCTTTGACCTGGGAGAAGTACCACTGCACATCGCTGCTCCCACCACCGGGTCCTGCAAAAAACACAGCCCTGTTTCAACTTCCCATTAGCCGTGAGCTAACTCGATTCAAACTGTCCCTTAGACAAGAGAAAAGCTCACATATGCTTCACACGAACTGCATGTTGTGTGTGAGGGAGCAGCATGAGTGTTAATGGGTTTGGTTTGGGGGCTGTCACTTTTTAAGCCTGTTGGGGATTTACTTCGTAGTATCCTAGCATGCTAACTGGTTAGCCTGTGCTAGCTTGTAGAGAGTAATAGATACAACACCTCTGTGCCGAATGATACTGATACTAGAACATGCTTCAAGCTCATCGTGACGGTCTGTTTTTACCTGCCATGGTGAGGGGTTCAGACTGGGGTTCCTGCTACTGCTTCAGGCCCTGGACTGGACCCAGATCGGATGACTGACTGGGTGGTTCTGTCCGAATAGCTGAGGAGGAATTAAGCTTTGCTGGGTGTGCAGGATTATAAATAACCACAAAAGTCCTCGATCCAGCAGATACAACGAAAGCTAAACAACTTTCAGTGGAAGAACACACAACCTTCACTACCGGTTTGCAGACTTTGCACTCCACTCTGAGATTTCCCTCGCAACTGCCGCTTCTGGCGATGGACTTCCAAAATGGCGCCGCGCGGGCGGTGTTGCTCAGAATCAGAGAGAACACGGTGCTCTAATAGTTTTAATATAAAAGTTCGTCAAACAACATCATGTGCAAAATGATATGTAATAAAATAAAAATAAAACCCCCCGCCAAAATCTATTTTACGTCGAACAGTAAACATAACATTTTCTTGTTTACAGATGTAACGCATTCATCCCGCCCTTGTGGATTGTTACTGTGCAAAAAATCGAACTAACAGTTTTATTTCCTTCAATTAGCTTGTGTGTGTGTGTGCGCGCGCGCGCGTGTGTGTGGTGGTGGTGGTGGTGGTGGTGTGTGTGTGTGTGTGTGTGTGTGTGTGTGTGTGTGTGTGTGTGTGTGTGTGAAAAATATGATCACTTAAATTTTAAGTTGAACATTTTTCAAACCATTTTTTTACATTTTCTACTCATCACATCTCTTTTACTTCTAATATTTTAATTTTGAACAAACTTGCTATATAAAAACTTGGAATTGCACACACACACACACACACACACACACACACACACACACACACACACACACACACACACACACACACACACACACACACACACACACACACACACACACACACACACATATGTATATGAGTAAAATTCGGGGCAATAGACAGCTACACCCTGCCATTACTCAGATATCCTGCAGGAATAGTAAGCTGGCCAAAGGAAGAAGTATAGACCACAGAAGCTCCTAACCATGCATCAAGGGTTCTATCCCAGGTCCAGCACCCTGAGACTGTACACTAGCCATAAGGAAGGAGGCCAAGGAGTAGTGAGTGTGAGAGCCACTGGCCAGGATGAAATTCAAATCAATTCAATTCAAGTTTATTTATATAGCGCCAAATCACGACAAGCATCGTCTCAAGGCACTTCACATAAACATTCCAATACAGGTCAATTCATTAAGCCTATCAGAAAAAAGTTTCCTGTAAGGAACCCAGCAAATTGCATCGAGTCACTGACTGGTGTCAGTGTCTTTACAGCAATCCTCATACTAAGCAAGCATGCAGTGACAGTGGAGAGGAAAACTCCCTTTTAACAGGAAGAAACCTCCAGAGGATCCTGGCTCAGTATAAGCAGCCATCCGCCATGACTCACTGGGGATCAAGAAGACAGAGCACACACACACACACACACACACACACACACACACACACACACACACACACACACACACACACACACACACACACACACACACACACACACACACACACACACACACACACACACACACGCACATACGCACAGACACACACACACCAAGTAGTGTTTCTATGGTTACATTGTGATTTCTTAGTAAATATTCTTTTTGGTGAGAGATAAACTTTATTGTATTTATCCTAGTGAATCTATAATTAAATGGGTAAACTAGTAGTAGCACATTCAATGTCAAAGAAAGTAAAGTGTTATTATCAGGAGAGGGAGAATGATGAAATGGTTAGCAACAGTGTTCAATACGATAGCCAAGAAAGATCCATAAGAACATCAAGGCCCCAACAGATAACATGCTCAGTGAATGTCTCAGACAATGGTGAATAGAGGAGGAGGTGCTGGAAATACCATCATGGGAAGACACACCCCTCCATGGGATGCACCACCAACAGATAACTAAAGTGGCTGATATCAAGAAATCCTTCCAATGGCTAGAAAGAGCTGGTCTGAAGGACAGCACAGAAGCACTCATCATGGCTGCACAGGAACAGGCCCTGAACACCAGAGCAACAGAGGCCAAGATCTACCACACCAGACAAGACCCAAGGTGTAGGCTATGCAAAGAGGCCCCTGAGACAATCCACCACATAACTGCAGGGTGTGAGATGCTGGCAGGTAAAGCATACATGGAACGCCACAACCAAGTGGTTGGCATCGTGTACAGAAACATCTGTGCAGGACTGGAAGCCCCAAGGTCAAAGTGGGTAACACCCCCTAAGGTGGTAGAGAACTGAGTGAGCCAAGATCCTGTAGGACTTCCAGATCCAGACTGACACAATGGTGATGGAGAACCAACCAGATATTGTGGTGGTGGGCAAACAACACAGGACAGTCGTGGTTGATGTGGCAATACCAAGTGATGCAACATCAGGAAAAAGGAACATGAGAAACTAGAGAAGTACCAGGGCCTCAAAGAAGAACTTAAGAAAGCCTGGAGAGTGAAGACATCGGTGGTGCCCGTGGTCATCAGGGCACTCGGGGCAGTAACCCCAAACTGGAGGAGTGGCTAAAGCAGATCCCAGGAAGAACATCAGTCATCTCAGTCTTGAAAAGTGCAGCACTACAAACAGCTAAGATACTGCAGAACCCTCAGGCTCCCAGGTCTCTGGTAGAGGACCTGAGCTTGGAAGGATGAGACCACCTGCGGAGGGTGAGATGGGAATAAGAAAACAACATCAGCAGGAAAAAACATTCATAGCTTTGTCTTTTTTGTTGTAGGTAACATCAAATTAAGAGGCTAACATTTGACTGATTTCAGGTGACTTTAGTTTATAGTTATAGCTCTAAATAGCTCTATAAATAGAGGCAGTAGAGATAAAATAAATCTCAACCAATACAGAAGGTTTGGTAGATTCAAGATCACCTGTAGTTTCAATCTTCAGTCCTGACAGTTGCTGGACAATGACTGTTACTAAAAGCAGCCTTCATAATGTTCTTTAAGTCCCAGCTAAAGCTAATCAATACAAAATTCAACAACACTTCCTGTTGGTTCCTGCTAATTAAATGATAACACTTAAAAGTACTTTTAAATTAGTGTTAACAGCATAGGTATTCTAAATAATGTGAAAGCCAGAATTTATACACTTATACAGAACTACTTAACTATTAAAACTCAACAAATCTATTTTACTTTTCTGTGTTCAACAAAATGTAATCAACAAGCTACAGCTGGTGCTATTAGTAGCTAGCAGCTAAACAGAGATTTTGTTTATTTAAAGCTTTATTACGGTAAAGAAGAGGTTAAACATTCAAGAAGTCTGAAAGTGCAGTAACACATTTCAGACGCTGGAGGGCAGCAACTCCCATCTTCCCTGTTGGAAATGACAGCTCTACAAGGACTTCATTTTAAAAGGGGAAAATGTTGCTGTTTTCGCAAGCACGGAAAGGACGATATATACTTTGTGATAAATTTGTTAATTATTCTAGCAAAATTATATCTCCACAAATGCAAGTATAGTAACCAAAAACCTAATTTCAAACATCATTATAATGACACTCAGTCTTACATAAAATTGATTAGTGGATCACTAAATAAAAAAGCTTTAAAAACTATAACTATTTGCACTACGTACTCTTTATTTGGATGGTGGAACATTTCTATAGTGCACCCCCTGGCATGTAAAAAAAAAATGCTGTTGGAAATTAGTGTTATTTCTTGCCAGCAGAGGACGCTATTCCCCATTCTTTCAAGGCAACAACTCGTGTTTAAAAAGTAGAGCAAGTGTTTCTACTAATTAAGTCTTGTAAAAATCTATTTAGACAAAGAACAAACAGTAAAAATAAACCACAATTTCTTTTATCTTGTTTCTTAACTTATACATTTTTAAATTAATTATGCCAGTAAAAGTACTGCAGGTTTTAAATTAGTGTTAACAGCATAGTTAGTCTAAACTGAGAAGTGATCTTTGCAGCACATCATTTAATTTTCAATTAAAATACCTGCAAATCCATTAAAAAATCTAACTACTGGAAAACTATAACGGGGCATTAGCGATAAAAGCAATATTCAGTGACCTCAAGAATGGATTGAATGGTTTGTTACCTTAGGATTCAAGTTTCTATACATGGTAAACAAGGTGGAGTGAACAAAATCTCTATAATCATCAAACTTAATTAATTTTAATGATCAAAATGAGTATTTTCATTATAGCGATTTATACTATTTACGGGATATAGAAACCAGAGCAACTTATTTATATCTTAAACACACAAGATGCAAAACATAGAAAACTGACATAAAAAACAAAAGAACTACTGTTTCGCACAATCATGTTTATTTTGATGCTTTATGTTTTATATTACAATGCACACAGTCTGAAGAGCACATTTAATCTCTAAGGCAACAATAAAACACATTAAAAGCTGGCTTGTTTAAGATAAGTTCACTTGTTCTTGAAAAATGCTCTTTTAGATTTATTTGTAAAAAATATTAAGACACTTGAAATGACTGCAGGTTGCAAATCACACAAGAAAAAAATAAGTGATCCTCTCAGGTGCTCTGCAAACTCCTTAAATCCCCCCAAAATTCAACCTAATCATCTCCAGCTCAGAGTCCGGGAATAAGCTACTCTGGCAAGCTGTTTTAACATTCAGTCAACAATCAGACCTCTCTGTAATCCCTATTTCAAATAGTAATAATTAAATTTATCATAGTACTAATTGTATTCTTACTAGTCAAAATTGCAAATGAAGATATCAACAACTGTGTTGTTACTAGGAGAAATTATAATGACAGATATCCATAATAACAACTGCACTAGTAGGAATTAACTTTAATATATTAATACAGACAAATGAAATCACATTTCACATTCATGTGTATTGGGTTTGCAGCCCCTCCTTTTCAGAAATGTATTTCAGATCAGCGTTACTTACTGTCTCCAACAGAAAGTAGCTGAAGTTCACCCAGAAAGTCACCCAGATGTCGCCAGATGACATCACATGCTAATTGACATATTAATGACGTCATCACGCCACATTGGTGTTTATTTACCCCTCAAACATCTAAAATTGTAATATATATATATATATATATATATATATATATATATATATATGACTGTTATCACACGTTTGCAAATCGACTTTAATGACTGCACATGTTTTTACACTTTTCCTTTCTTAAGTATTTAGTTTCTCAGAAATGTTAGATTCTGATTAGGGATCCACCAATACCACTTTTTTCCAAACCAATACGATACCTATACTTGGATCTGAGTACTCGCCGATACCGATTACCGTGGGGTTGTATACTGTTGATCTAAAGTGGAATTACCCTGTGGAAACAGCAATTTTCTATTTTAGAGCATTTTGAAATCAGTGAAAGTTTGGTCGTATATGGGCAATTTTAACAGGCCTTTATTTTACTGAGGTAAAGTGAGCCGCCACTTGGAGATGTTCGGTAATACTAGCCACGGTTGGATCCCCGTTGAAAATTAGTTGCGGCCGTATGTGATACATTACGGTAACTGCAGCACGCGTGGTACAAAGAAACGAAACATGACCGAGCAATATAAAATAGATTTTCAGATATGTGAAAAATTTTGGTACATAATACATAGATGTTAATGGTGTATATTTTCTTTTATTCATTTTTTTGTGTGAAAAAATATCAAAGTACCTCAGAAAACTCAAATCGTGATTTTATTTTCTGCAGCTCATGACAGGTGACGCAAATTTTTATCTTGGTGAAAGTCCACCTGAATAACCACAATAAACATTACACATCTCCTGATTATTACTAAGGTCCACATGAAGAACAAGTACAACACGTATTACATATTTATACTGTAGTTTAAAACAGTACATTTCAATATGCCTAAGTAGACTATTGTGTTGTGTGAAAAAGACTCATATTCAGCAGGTTGTTTGAGAAGTGACGTGAGCCTCTCTAGATTATTACTGTAGTCCATTTGGAGAACAAGTACAACACATATTTCTTTTTTCATTCTGTAGAATTCTGGAGTCTGGAGCTCAGCACCGCGGACAGCTCTTTCTTCCACTCTGATCAGCACCATGGACAGTTGCACACCAAGCTGTGGCTCTTCCCCTCCTCGATGCAGTCACACTGGATCCTCCTGATGCCAGCTGGGGAGTTCACCAGGGGCGCTTAGATCGGTGCTGGTGTCTCCACAAACATCTCCAATGTTCTTGAACTTGTCATTTTAGATAAACTACTTGTTGAGTAGTAATTAATTTGTTAATAGAGTTTGTTTGTTGAATTGCCTTCACTTTAGTTTGATTAAATGGTGGAAATCTCAGTTTGATAGTTGTTGGGTATTTTTATAATTGTACCTTTTTGAGGCCTAAAAGATGCCCATTTTGTTTTATTGACACTGCATGAATCTCTGTTTTTGCCAACTGTTGTTGTTCATGAAAGGTTGAGCAAGGATGTTGATTGCAACTGAAACCTTTGTAACTCTGTAACCTGAGAAGGCCCCGCCTTCTCCCCCATCCTTTGCTGTGAATAAAGCCCCTGGGAAACTGAGGAGACTTGGGAGTGATGTGGGGAAGCCTCGGAGGAGGTTCCTCTGCGTTAACTCTCCATATTTTGGGGACTCAGGGTAAAATGTCTTCCTTGTTGTCATGTGTGTTATTTCAGGTTCCAGGGTTATGGAGATTAAATATTACCTAACATTCTGGTCTCCTGATGGAGAATGCGGGTATGCAGAGCTGGTAAGGTGAAGGCTTTGAGGCTGGAACAGAGGGGGGCTGGTTAGCTCCATGGAGGGGTTTCTGCGCCCAGCTCTCACATGACGATTCATGGACATTACAAATAATCTCTCTCTCTCTCTGTGTGTCGTCCTTTAAGGTAATATGGGATAAATCTAAATTACCTATCATCTTTTAGGCCTCAAAAAGGTACAATTATAAAAAATACCCAACAATAGTTTAGACAGCCTCGGAGCTCAGATTAATAGCTAAGTACAACATTGTAGCCTACCATCTGTGTAGACTCCATTAGTTAAGAAGAGTGCAGTTTAGAACTACTCCTTAGTTTGGTTAATTGGATTTGGTGGAGCATTGCTCCACTCTTTTAGTTTTCTTTATTCTGCCTTCTGGGTTATTATCAGTTACAATTATAAACCATTAAGCCTATAAATTGGCCATTGGGGATTATTATTTGTGTTTATTCACCTCTTCCTGTAAAGATAAGTTAATAAATCCATTTTTTCATATATACTCTCTCTCTCACTCGTCTCTTTGTGTTACACACTCCTTCCCCCATAACCAGCCGGGTTGTAACACACTGTCAAAGTACCGCACAACACTAGTGTTATGCTAAAAGGTGTCATTCATAAATAATTTTCTCCAAACTCGTAAAAGGTGATAAAAATGTATCTTTAGATGAACATGAAGAATATTTCAAATTAATATTTAATAATTTTACTATAGTTTTTTTACACCGTCAAAGTACATCATCATGTCAATCCAGATTATGTGTTTGTTCTTTTGTTCAGAGCTTTTTTTTCCCTCCTAAATCCTGGGATGTGACAACAAAATCTTTTTGTACTATGCTAGAGGATCACCTTTGCTATATAAGCAGAATACAAATGTCATATTTTTAAGTTTATCTTTTCATTGCAATACATTTGTTATGAACTCTGCCCTGTGAGATGTCCAGAAGTCTCATTGTGGTTTTGGTCCTAGCAGCACATCTTTTTATTTCTAAATAAACTAACTGCAAACCCATTTGAAATAAAATCAGCTTACTGGGAGACTGTAAGGTGGTTAATGTGACAAAGTCCTAAAACAATAATCAGTGATCTCAAGATCTGATCAGTTTGTTGGGGTTAAGGTTTATATGCAGTGTGTGATGCATGGTTAACTAGGTGAAGCCAAGTCTCTAAATTAATCAAACTGAATCCGTTTCAGTGGTCAAAGTTAGGGTTTTCATTCAAAAAATACAATACAACCATATGTTTATTTTGATGCTTTATGTTGTATACTGCAATGCACATAATCTGAAGAGCACATTTAATCTCAGAGGCAAAAATAAAATGCAATAAAAGCTGGTTTGTTTAAATGCTATTTTAGATTTGTTTAAAAAATACAAATAAGACACTTTAAATTACCGCAGGTTGCAAATTACACATGGAAAAAAAGGCCTTAAATCCCTAAAACGGTCAGCCCAATCAGCTTCAGCTCAGAGTCCAGGAACAAGCTCCATCTTCCATTGTTGTTTTCTTTCACTTTCCCACCACAAAATACGTGGTCCACCTGGCGAGGAGCAAAGCACCAAACACCACTGTGTAGCTGAAGAGGACAAATCTGAGTACTTCTTTAAAAGTCCGGAGGAAACGGATAAATAAGGGATCCACTTCCATGGGCTCCACATTTTCACCTCGACCCATATTGTACAAATGCACCTGTCGATTTTAATTCAACAAGTCAGGAAAAATGCTTTCAATAGACTAAAGTACTTGTAAAAACACTGAAAAAGACTAAACTAACAATGAGAACATGCACAGTAACTGGTCTGAGAAGACAAGTCTGTTTGTATGAAATAAGTTATTCCCGGGATATTTTCAGTAGCCTCACAGAAGCTGAAGCTAAAAGCACATTACTGTAAATAATTCATTTGTAAACGGCACTAAGTGGATCCTATTGATCTGTTTGTGTAGTCACAAACTTCATGAAAACATCTTTAAATGTCTAAAACAATTTCTTGTTTTAAGACACAAAAGGTGTTTTAATTAAAAAATTTAATTTGTTCATCAGCAATTTCAGATGCGCTACATGAATTATCCAGTGAAACTAATACAAATCCAGAATGAATGCAGAAAAAGTTGAAGAAAAACTACTTGAGAAAGAGAAAAATGCAAAGACCAACCTTGATGTTGGAGCAGCTGATCAGAGGGTGGGCTCCTCAGCTTCCAGACGTGAAGTTTTAGTTGGCGTGTGCAACGTTGAGCGTTTCAAGCCCCTTATGGCAGAGGAGGGGCTGAAACCAAAACAGATCACGACGACCTGAATCCACTGGGACTGATCTAACAACGGTTTGTCTTCAGTGCAAATGCTCCACCAAGAAATTAAAGATTCAAACACTTAAAAGCAATTTAAAAAAGACTTTTAGCCAATTATCTAATAAAATTTGACCAAAAATATAGTCTCCTAAAAATATCCAACAGAGGTTGTTGTACAGAGTAAGGGAGGAGGAGGGAATTGACTGATAGAGGGATCAAACACCCTCCTGCAGTTATCCTCTACCGGAACACGGAGCAAATGGCCTCCTAATTAAATCAGCGTCCTGCTCTGTCAAATCAGCGGCCGCCATGGGCTGAGCTCTCCAGACAACACGCCGCTATTATCGGCTGATCGGGAGGCCTGTTACTGAGCTAATTGCTCCTTCAGAGAGCTGGACACTGCTGACGGATGCACTGTCTTAAAAAAATAATTCACATACTAAACTAGATGGGGAAATGGCACATCACATGACAAAGTAACACAAGACTAATTTAGGTTGATTATTTGTTTATTTACTCATTCTGAACCTCAGCAAAAAGCACATGACGGGAAAAAAAGCTTTTTAAAGGAGGAGCAACGTTCATCTCACGTTTTCCTTCAGCATCACACAAGTTTAAATACATATTTACAATATTTATGGTCATGTAATAATAGAACAAATAAAGATAAAACAAAAGAAGCAACAATCAGTTTTTTTGGGGGGGTGGGGGGGTGGGGGGATGTGGATTACATTGTGTGAGCCTAAAAACAGGAGCTGAGGAGGATGTGTCCAGTGGCTCAGGGCATCTGGGCTTCAGGCCGGTCCATGAGGGATTTGATCCACGTTGTGCCATTGATTAGCTTTGTTGTGGCTATAACGTACTCCATCCCGCTGTCTTCCATCTGGGAGAGGAAACGCAGAGCAGCTATCTCTGCATATGTCACTCCACCGAGGAAGAAAACCAGCGTTGTTCGATTTTCCCCCTGTTGGCCTGTAAAACAGCAAGAGGAAATGCACTCAAACTGGAGGGGGAAACTGCTGCAATGGCGTTAAAATTGCTGCAATTAATCATGTAAGTAAAAAGAAGACACCCAAGACCCATCTGTTAAAAACGAATCCTTCTACATCGTCCCCCTAGATTAAAGTCCTTTATTATCACCCTTATAAGCTGATGAAAGACGGGCTTGTAGCAACAAGTCAACTCTCTACTGCCCAAACCTGCAGCTCCAATTAACTCATTTCAAATTACGTGTTAAAATAAATTAATTATTCACATCCATCACCACCACAATAAATCAGCCTGATGGCTGAGGAAGATCACTGGTTGATGTACGCTCTTCCTTTAACACAAACACACCTGAATAAACAAAAAATAGCCGTTGACAGTAGCTCTGGTGCATTGTCAGCTCTCAGCCATCAAACTGCTGCTGTTCAACACTTCCCCTCAGCGCACAAAAGCCTGCATCTTATCTGTAAATGGCAGGCAGGCCATTGTTTTTGTTGTGTGGCGAGCAGCAGGATTAACGTTTCAGTGTGGAAACGGTGTTCAGGCCTGGGATTGACAGGTCAGGTCTTACTGGGGTGCATCACCATGGTATTACTGGAAACTGACCAAACCAGGTTACACTGATATAAGAACAAAACTCAAGAAAACTGCTCCCCCCAACCACTTCATTCTGTTAAAAACGAGCGGACAACGAGAGCCTCTTGTGATCGTTCCTACATATGATGTTCACTTAAACTACTTCTGTGAATTTTCTAAAACATTAAGAATTTATATTTACATTTTACAGTCTGGATGAGAACTTTATCCAAAGCTCCTTCTCTGCTGGCTGGATTTTAAATTTGGGTTTTATATTATAGACTTAAAACATTTAAAAATAACCTGGGCTGATGCCCTGAAGAAGGTCGCACGCGACCGAAACTCGTAAGCTTATATCATAATAAATTATTTTTTGGAGTGCCTCAGATCATGACTTTTTTTCTTCCATATCTACGTTTGAAGTTTTTATGATCTTGAAGAGCACCCGAGATACTACAGAAATGATAGATATATCTAGTCCCACTGATGCACTCACTCCCATCTGTTTGAACCTGGGCTGTGGTTTTAAATAAGACCAACATTCATTATAAAGGGATATTTTGGCCATTTCATAGCTTTCTGAACACCTTCCATTCAAAGAAATAGCTTATATCCTCAGGATTGATGAGCTAACAGTTTAAAAAAAAAACTCATCATTACAGGCAATTTAGCAGTTCTAATTGTCCATTTAAATGGTTATTTATGGTTATTCCCAGCGGCAGCTAAATGTAGCACATTCGGTGTATCCAGGGATCAAAACCTGCAGGAAATTCCTAATATTTGTACTGAAATAACAGTATATTACAAACACACGATATTACAAACACACTTAGTGCTCAGACTAGCTGTTAGCCCATCAATCCTGTAGAAGGTAAACACTATTTCTCTGAACAGAGGCCATTAAAACTTATCAGAAATGAAAAATATAGAACTTTTAAATGAAAACACACTTCAAAATGGCTAAAGCTACCTAAAAAAATGAGAAAGAGATCATTCTAATTCGATCAAGCATACATGTGTAACAGACAAAATGTGTACTTTTGCTTTAATGAGATAATTAACACAATATGCTTTTTTGCTTTCACTCCTATAGTGCTATTATTATAGATATTTATTATAGGTCATGTTAGTATTAGACAAATCTTAATAACTAAGCTACTAGCATCACTCCTAATAATCCCACATGACTCAACGCAGATAACCATGGCTGTCCATACGTTTCTTATGAAGTCCGGATGGCAGCTGCTGTCTCTCCTCAAAGTGTGGACCTGGAAGCATCTTCAGCACCTCTTCGATGCTACGCCAGCCAGGCCTCGCCAACACCTGAGTCAGTCGGATGCTCAGAGGAGCGTAGCCGCTGTACACGTATGAGATGTCATTTGGGTTCTGTAGATAGTCAAAAAAAAAACAGAGCAGGATCATAGGTCAGCTTTACTCCGTTTTGTTCTCTCCAAATCCCTTCATCCCAACATACCTGCTCATTGGCATCCTCCATCCACAGTTTAAGGGTTTTTCTAATGGTGGGATGGTTGTTCCTTGAGCTCGACTGCAGCTTCAATAGACCTGCCTTCTCCAGGTTGTTCAGTGTAAGTATGTGTTCAAAGCCATAGGTCTTAGCAAAAAGAAACAAAGGAAAAGTATCTAAAGAAAATCCCTCATATATCAATTACCATTCAGAACAAGTCCAAAAACAGTAATTCATCATGGTTTCTATTTTGATTCTACCTGAAGTATCTCCCTCTTGTAGTGATCCAGCACCTTCTGCTTGAGGCCGTTGTTGCAGACTGACTGCATACACACCAAACGCAGGATCTTGATCAGTGGATCCTTCTGGGCAATGGAGTCTTCGATGTACGTGTTGGCCTGCAAGGTGAGGCAGATTAAAGGACTTCAGTAAATCTGAGCCAGACTTTAGGCTAACACTGGTCAAAGTTCAGAGGCCGGGAAGCCATTGCTAAGAAGACAAACACCTTGTCTGTATCCACACCAGTCATGAACTCCTGCTCCACTGTGAGGTTATCAAAGAAGGCCTCAGATGCTGAAACGGGAAAGTTAGATGTGGGTAAAATGCTGACAAAAACTTTAAAATATAATGGTGGATTCCTATTGTAACTGCAAACAGCCTCCTGATCAAGAGAATTTCTAATGCCGTCTGCACAGGTTTCTTTATGAAGTGATGAAAAATGTGTGCATTGAAAAAGAAACAGTGCAGATAAACATAAAAGTTGTAACACAAACTTACTGGTTATGTCTTTAATAAGCTCAGCAATAGAAGTGTGGTTGGCCAGTGAGCTCCGTGCTGCCTGCATGTGAGGTAGCTGAGACACAAACTGCTTTATCTCTCCCACAGTTTTAGCATTGTGGCGTTCCTGAGGGACAAAGCGTGGTTAGGTCTGTTAAAACTGTTTTATACAACAGTTAGAGAACATTTCTAATTAAAATCACCAACATTTTAGTTAAATAAGCTACATTGGGACAAGCAACTGCACTAAAAGATAACAAAACAAGTGAGTATAAACAAGTATACTAGAATTACTTTTAATGTAAATAAATCCGTAATGTAGTTTGTTTTTGATGTAGACAGATCTGTGAAAAACCTTGATTGGGATAAATGGATAGACTGATAGACTGGCTAACGACTAGTCTGTGCTGGGCCCGTTAAAAACTGTTTCTGATGTCTTAAAACATCTCAACACATTTGCAGTGGTCTCTAGCATAAACGAGTGCTTTGTGAGTCAATCTCTGTAGGGAAAAAGCTCTGGAGCTCCTGTTTCAGGAAGTAGAAGTGAGCCAAAGCAGAGGAGAGCAGAAGACGGCAGGATTTGGAGTCTTATTTCCTTATATTCAAACATCTCACCTCTGATTGGCTAACAGCTACCACTGACTCCATTTGCATTGCTCCACAAACAACACAAGCCTGAAGGAGTTCTGCTGTGATGCGGTGCTGATAATGCTAACGGTTGGCTTCTACTAGCCGAGACGTGCTCTGCTCTCTCCTGGATGCTATACCAATAACAGCCTTCCCCATCGTGAGCCAAGATGGGTGTGTCCATGAATGCTAATTTGACAATATGATGTGGAATTGTCAGGCTTTTCTAATCCAAGCGTTTCCCTATTTTTACCAGCTGCTAATGCAGGAAATAGGGGTGGTAGACTGTTTTCAGGTTTAGCCAGCATGTTAAACTCAGATTAACCGATCATATTTCAAAAATAACCAGTAGAAAGGGAACTCAGAGATGAGTCAGGGGTTAGGGGAAGGGGTTGGACAAATTCCAGTTAGTTTATATTTGGCTAAAGTTTTAAATGTTAGCTGTTAGCTTGTTCGTCTGTTCAGAACTAATCTCTGTTTCTCCAAACGGAGACCATTCAAATAGATAATGAAGTTATATAGCAGATTAAAATTTTTTTCAGGCCATGTAAAAATGCAAATGCTCAATTTAAAATTAAACAAAGGCATAGGTAGGTTTTCTGATTTGTTAAAAAAAACCTTTGATGACAATTTTGAACGTCTTCCTTAAAACACTTGTGAACATAAATCAATAAAAGCCTACAGCAGACAATTAGACTTGAAGGAGTAGGGCTGCATTCCATTAGGAAGATCTGCTCATTAGTGTTTTACAGAAAACCCAGCATGCAGAGCTACAGAAGTGGAAAGCAGCCATCATTGAAAACATGTGTTTTTTCCCCTTTTCTTTCAAAATAAAATAAGACAGTTATGTTGTCTGGTAGGAATTAACACTAAGAGGTGCAAAATCTAAAAAAACCAAAAAAATTAACAAAAAACAAAAACAAAGGAAAACCAACCTCAAACGCTGCAGAAATGATTTTAGCCTTTTTGCTGAGTGCAGCACCAACAGCATTGAAATTTTTGTCCCGGATTTCTGCATACAGCTCTTCTGCTGAGTTGAGCTGTAACTTCTTGGGCTCTGTGGGTAAATCTTTGCTAGCTTCTCCTTGCTTCTTCTGTGCAAACTTCTCAGGAGGAAGCTTGACATATCCTGTCAGACGGCAAAGAGAAAAAAAAGGAAGAACTGTGCCTTTAGCAAAAAATAATTAAGTAGACTAAAATATATCATTGAAATAGAAAATATATAAAACATTTTTATGTTTTTATCTCACACAAAAATAGAACGATTCCAAACGTATGATGGTGCATTCTGACCGTTAGTTATTCCATAGATCTCATCAATGAGGCCTTCGTAAGTGAGCTGTGTAGCTAGAGGTGTGAGCAGGTCAATGTTGCGGTCCAGGAGGAGAAGAGTGTCAAACACCGGCAGAATCTGATTCTGAGTGCCAGCAAACTCCCTCTTCATCCGCAACATCATGTTGGCAACATGCTATAAAACAGAGAATATCTGTCAGGAAAAAGGTCTTTAATCTGCTCATTATTAATATTAACATTGTGTGTGTAAACAGTTTTTTCCAGTTACTGCACAGATCATTGGGTTTACTCACCCGTGCACAGTCTCCCTTCCCAAAAATCTGTGGAATGGTGCCGTAAAGCGCCTGCAGGGTCATGAGACCTTTGGCTGTGTGGTACAGGCTCGTCAGGTCATTTTCCAGGTAGCACTCCTGAATGAGATGAAAGCAAGTACAAATATGAAATGGTATGCAAAGATATACTCAAACACATAAAATAGAGCAGGAGGTTCTGATGTTGTGACTAAATAACACTCCATATTTGTAATGGGCAAAAACTCACCCTGAAAGCACTTTCATACTCCATAGAGAGCAGGTCTCCATCATAAGGAATCAGATCCAGGATGTACTCATCAATGTTGGTGAAAGAGGCCAGCACGCCCTGCTCTTTCAGCCGCTGCTCACACAGCATGCTCCGCCGAGGCACAAACAAAATGTGGAAGTCTCGTGATGAATGCAGCTTGCCTTCACTGAAAGGTGCACGATCCAAGATGCAAATGTTATACTTGTAAGGATTTCTTTAAGGGAAGATGTATAAACTGGTTGCTTATAACAGTGAGGGGCACCTGAATATATTGTCAGCAATGATGTCCATAAGCTCCAGCCTGGGACGAACAAAGAAGATGATGTTTTTGACATCAGCAGAGGGGAGTCTGCCACTCTTGAGGGTAAACATTTTTTCCACCTCATGTTCCTGAAAAACACACAAAAAAATGAGCAATAGAAGTGAAGGCTCAGGCTGTCAGATCTACTTACATTGTGTTTTATTTTAATAATCTGTAAAGGGTTAGGCACTTACCTTCAGCAGAGAATACTGAGCTATTAGTCCAAAAGGTCCTGTCAGATACTCATCCCAAACTATGGCCTAAAGAGCAACAACACATCATGTATCCATGAAAAACATTTTATTTATGGAAACAAGTTTTAAATCAAACTTAAGCTCACACGCGCATTTGCCCGTGGTCGCGTTTCACGTTGGTTTAAACGCGACACAATCCGTCTAATTTGTCAGGATCATGAATACATTTTTGTACAAATAAGAAAAGACTATTTCCTTTTGATATTTTCCAGCGTCTGTAAGTGACTTTATTTACCTTACTTCCCGCGCATTTGTCCAAAAACTCTCGAAGTTCTTTTCGTGCCGCTTCTCTTAAAATGTTTAAATTCACTCTGCCGTAGGACAGATGAGCAGCCATTTTTTCTCACAACACAACACAAAAATCAGGTGACTTCGGCAGGAAGTCAAAGTCACATGACCAAATGCGTCACAGTACTGACAAGACGTTTAGGAAATTAAAATAAAATAAAAATTCAAGTTTAATTCAGCTTCATGTTAGTAGACTTTAGTATGGAAGCTTTAGTTATATTACGTAGGTTAAAAAATTATATTTTAGGTCTAGAATAATTTTCTGGTGTCCCGGAAGTAAAGGAGGATTAGCTAAAATCAACTCCGTACTGTTTAAAAGAGCTTTGCCTCAGTGTCACATATTAAATTTCTTTGTATGTCAACCACATGTAGACGATAATGCACCGAATGAAGTTGCTTTTGTCTCGGGTTTACAACCAAGGAAGTATGAGGAGTGAAACGTCTTGGTATCATTTCCTTCAGTGTAAAATTCAGAGTGACCGTTAGATGACGCAATTTTCCTGCGAAACAAACGCGCGTCTGCGGTCAAAACAAAGCACTAAACGTCTTTATTTTAGGGACACTTATCTTTGAATTTTAGGGTCCGTTTTTGGACATATGATTGTTGTAGCCAAATCAACACGAGACTCAAACTGTATTAAGACAAAAATGATCAATTTTTTTAAAGTAAAACATTTGTTAGCGGGCAAAGTGTGTAATCCAAATTAAGTGGAATAAACCCCCCACAAATAATTGATTTCTAACGGAATTACAATACAATTTAAACACTACTGTACAGTTTATTTATTATACATGTATAAACACAGAAAAGCGTTAAAAGGCGCACCACTGCAACTGCGTAATCAAAATGTCAGTGATTTCTCAACTGGAGTGCCTGCACGTTGAGATAAATTTAGACACTTATAAAGAAAACTGGATCAGGTGGTGACTGCCCACTTATGAGCATCATTGTGTTATCACTTCAGATCCAGGGGTTTCCTTCCCACGGTACCAAGGGCTTTCCAACCATCCTCCACGCAAAGAAGACCATTTCCCACGCATCGGGGTGATCTGCAACAGACAACTCCTCCAGCCAAAAAAATAAATAAAATAAAATAAATAAATAAAGCACGGTTTTGGTAACAGGCACCATGCGCAATGACTAACTCTATGATCGGATCCAGGCTCTGCACAGAAATCTAGTCCGCTCCGTTCCCCGACAAGAGGAGAGGAGGCAGGGCTGGATTCTCAGGTAGGCATCACCATCTCTCTGCAAGGTTTTCTAAACATTGCATCTTCACCATGAGCATTGTTTTCATATTCTAATTTTGCGTTATGTCAGGTGATACACAGAAATGTCTCAAGTTGAATGAATGCAGCGCTTCATTCAGAAGAGAGGGAGAGTGAGTCATCTGTGTTAACACGGAGCATATTTCATACCCTGTGTTAATTTGATGGAACAAAATTCCTTGTCTTCACGAGCCAGTTAAACTGATTGATCAGACGGAATAAAAGTGTATGCAGATCACTCTGTATTCATGCAGCTGTTGTCAGAAATGTAAATGAATATTCGATTGAAATTCTATTTTTAAGATGTCTCTTTGTAAGTGAAGTGGTAATATGCACTGACTACCTATTTGTGTGCTGAGGTGACGTGTCATGGTTAAGAACTGAGTTTATTCATGGTGGCAGATTAAAATAATCCCAGGTGTAAGAGGTTACCTTTTCTTGCCCTCAGAACCAGAACCTGGCCTACAACAGCTCTCCTTCCTTGTTGCAGATCTGACATAAGTAAGCCATCCTTGTCAGTTATCTTTGAGAGTGTGTTGTTGCAGTCACTGGGCGTTGCTGCAGGATTTGTGTGTGTGTGTGTGTGTGTGTGTGTGTGTGTGTGTGTGTGTGTGTGTGTGTGTGTGTGTGTGTGTGTGTGTGTGTGTGAATACTGGGGCTTGATTTGCCTGGAGGATTCAAGGCACTAGTGAAATCTCCAAATCCAGCTGTGGGCAGAGTAACTCCAGCTGTGCCTCTTGAACAGGTGATTCACCAGTTCACTCGCTGGGATGTTATCGAGTGTCCTGCACCCATACATTTGGTTTTTGCACTTTGGGGGTCAGAGCAAAGCAAATGAGTTCACTGACTCAGATGTTATCATTTAAAAAAATGAGCAAAAGAGAAGAAGCTGGGAATCTGCCTCCCAGTTCCACTATCTCCATCCCACAGACCTGGAGCTGGAGGATTAAATGGGGGAGGGGAGCAAAGAGTGAGTGAATACTCCAAGAGATTTCTGCAGCTGCCTCTTCTCACATGAACAACCACAGTATAGTGATTGGATGACACCCTTATGCTTTTAAACCCCCCCCCCCCCCCCCCATGTCTTTTTGTCTCTTGTATCCAGTTGATGTTTTTGTGCAGAAGAAGGAGAAACAGAATAGAGGAGGACAAAGGTTTTTACAGGTCTGGTCGAATAAAACAATTTAGAATAGGAGACAGAGAGCTTTATGGAAACATGAATGGTTTGGGTTGAAACATGAAAAATTATCGAGAAATGAAGGAAGTGCTTTTCACACCAAATGCATTATTTAATACCAGAGAACGCTAGGCAGCTGGACCCATAATTCCAAGTCTTCAGTGTCTTTTTCAGCTACACTGGCTGCAATGATAACTGGTTCTGTGTGTGGTTTGAATAGAAATATAGGGTTCTGTGAAAATGTGGAATTGTGGAGATGGGTGCACACACACACACACACACACACACACACACACACACACACACACACACACACACACACACACGCGCGTGTGGTTAATCGTTCTTACAGCTGTCTTTTAATGTTGCTGTTTCCATGGCCACAGTGAGTAAAGATGCATGACTCTGTGTTTCTCTGGTCTCCATGAGGCCAAACACCATGATGCTCCAGTTTTTTTCATTTGAGACGCTTGGCTAAAATCAAGCGGCTGTTGTAGGGAGCATTTACAATCTGTCGTTCATGCATTTGTCCTGTCCAGACTTGACTACTGCAATGCACTGTATGCCGGGTTAAGTCAAGATGCGATTGCTCGCCTGCAGCTGGTTCAGTACTCCGCTGCTGGGTTTCTGACTGGCACAAGGCAGCATGTCCATATCACGCCAGTGTTGGAGGAACTCCACTGGCTTCCTATGCAGTACAGAGCAATATTCAAAGTGCTGATGCTCGTGTTCAGGGCTCTTCACGGTACTGCTCCTGCCTATTTATTTATCAGCACTGCTACAAAAGCATGTCCCCATCTGCTCTCTTCGCTCTGGTGACCAGGAATTACTGGTGGTCCCTCGTTCCAGATGCAAATCTAGGGGAGATTGTGCATTTGCAGTCCTTGCTCCAACTTTTGTGGAATGGTCTACCTTTGACTGTTAGGCTAGCGTCTTCCTTCCAGATTTTTAAGTCACGTCTGAAGGCCCATTATTATATTATATTGTCCAGGCATTTTCACCACCGGGGGCTGCAATGTTGTCTTAATTTGAATTGTTTAACAATTGTTCTCATCTGTTTTTTATGCTGTTTTTTATTTCTTACAGTTTTTATTGATGCAGTTGCCTGTTTATTGTTGTGTTCAGCACCCTGGGCTTCTACTAAAGGTTGTGGAAGGTGCTCTATAAATAAATAAATGAATGAATTATGTCACATCCTAAATTTCTGCAGGTTTTTTCATGTGCAGAACAGAAGATGTATTGTTCTGATGTTAATGGTGTAAAAAGGGAGTGGCTTCGATCAGATATTTTTTTCTCAGAGTTGTGGATGAGAATCGACCCAGTGGCCTCTCTGAAACAGGTGATTAGATCTGCCTAAGCAGCGTGGCATATCGGAAAAGACGCAGGTAATTAATGTGGCCTTTGAAAAAAATTTCCCCCAAGGGAACGAACAGTTAAATATCCCTAACAAAACCGAGTGGAATCTATGAACTCCAATCTAGATATAATCAACGTGTTCCACCTTTCTGCTGCAGATTGCAGCTCCTTTCTAACACACTTAGTATTTAAGGTTTTATCTGAAATGCTTATTAAAAGTTGCCCTTTCAGACCAAATCAGCCAAAAAACATGTCCACAAGCAAACACTGTGCAGCTGAAATGTGCCAGCAGAGAATCAAAAAGAATCAAAGACAGCACATTGCAGTTTGTAAACCACATGGTGTTCGTTCAAGTAGCAGATTCAGATTGTCTTCACGAGTGACCCTCTGCCCTGATTTGTTCCCACTGTCTGGTACTTTCTTCTGTCATTGTGGAGAGAAATTATAATGCATCAGCAGCCAATTTTCAAAAGTCCCACCTCTTACCTCCAGGGTAAAACAAGGATAAAGCACCATCAGCCTAGCAAATATGAGCCTGGCTGCAGGCTTTTGCTAGAGTGCAGGTATTTCAGTGCTTCATGCCTTGAAGCTTTTTATAGACATGCTGTGGTTCTGAAGAAAGGCTGGGACCATAGTCTGAAAATGAAATGAAAAAGCCACATTAAATGAAAGATTTGTTTCCTGCAATAAATCAAAGGGTAAGGAATTGTACAACCCACCTTTCCTGGACAGATCCAGCCTTGATTGCAGGGTAACAGCATGGTAGGACTGTCACTAGAGGGTCTTTCCTGTTTGTTCTCCAGCGAGGTAGGACCTGGAACCACGCCTGCCCGGAGGATGTGTTTGTGTGTTATCGTAATCGTTACTACTCTCTCACATTTTAGAGGTTAGCAGACCTCGCAGATGGCTCCACAGATGGTCTCTGTCAGCACTGTGCGCGTGAAAAACATTGATAATTTGTCATTGCCACACACTTAAAAGATTAACATCCACACTGTTAACCAAAACAGTGATTTTCAGCAGGTCTGTGTGTGTATGTGTGAGTGTGTGCGTGTATGTTTATCCCCCACCTCCTCCTCAGGCCTGTTTGGTCCATAAGGCATCCACTAATGCCCTACAGAGGAACTTACTCAGAGTGAAAGAGCATGTGGTTTAGGGTGGTAAATAATTAAAAAATGCTGAGTGACGAACTCCTGCAGCAGAGGGCTTGTGTGGTGCATTGCTTTACAACCTCACCCAGGTCCAAACGCACAGAATGCTGGCATCTCAGGCTTTAAGGAGGACAGATGGAGCTTTACCCTACAAGTAGGAGTTGGCTGCTTCCTCATGCTTTTGTTTTTTCTTTTCATGGGGGGGGGGGGGGTGCTCCCTACCTCGTCTCCACGCTCACTCTGGGCCACTGAGGTGTGAGCATCAGACACTATAGAAGCTAAATCTGTGAGATCAGTTCAAAAAAGGCCAGATTTGTAGTCAGTGTGAAGCTGTAGAAACATCGTCATTGAAATCTTTTATTAAGGATTTCTTTGCATTGTCTATAATCTCATGGATATATTCTGTTCAGCTCTTTAGTCAGGACCACAAAGAAGCCAGGATATTTTACAATAAAGCAATCTGACATCTCGTGTAATTAACTCCCCCCTTTTGCCACCATATTAGTTTTTACATGTCAGTACATGGACAAAGAAAACCCAGGACCTGTGACAACTGGATTTAATAATTGGATTGGATAATTAAGATTATAATCTGCTCTATAATAATCATCCCTATAACTTGTGAAAGAGCAGATTTCACGTTGTTTTCCACTTTCAGATATCACCTGATCTCTTCTGTGTCTGCTGCAAAATATCTTTATTTTTGGAGGAGACAATGGCAATGCTGCTGACCAATTTAAAGAAGGTGGCGTCCTGACCAATCACAAGTTGACAGTCTTCGTCACTTTCAACGGATAGTTAAAAAGTCAGGCATGTCTCCATCACCCTCTGTGAGCCCTTCAGAGAGCCCTTGTGCCAATGTATAATGGCGTTGTGTGTCTCCATGTTGATAATTCAGCCTTCAGACTCCTAATCCTGCCATGTTCTGTCACTCTACTCCAGCTGAATTTTCTGTGCCAATTCAAGCACTTCTGGGCTCCCCCCCCCCCCCCCCCCGAGTATGACAAGGCATTCATTCCTACTAGAGACCACTGCAAATGCATTGATTAAATGAGTGAACCACACCTTTAAAATACTATCAGCTGCTCAGTTGAAAAAAAAATGCATAAAAGCAGTCTTTCAGTAGGTACTAAATAATAGAGTGATTTAGAGCAGGTTGAGTCTAGTTATGGCTGAAGGCTGGTTTATGAGTTGAAAAATTAGATACTCATAACTCCTTGCTAAAGAAAGACTAATGGTCACGGCAAGTTGAAAATGATTGGATCACATGTAGGTTGGAAATGCTGTGCTTGACATGAATACAAACTACTTAGTGAACATAGAAAAGGGTTTGGAGGAAAATGCTGATGTGAGTCTGCAGGGACTCAGCTTTTGCCAATTATGAATGTTGCTGGTGAATAATTGGATTTTTGCTTCAGCTGAGCGTTAACGCGTCTTCAATTATACATGAGGTTTTACAGCAAGGTGTCAAAATACCAACAGAAGCCTTGATGAAAGATAGAAACCACTTGCTGGACTTTGCATCAATGTCTAATTCTCATTAGCCCGTTTTGGAAACATCCTTGGGGGATGATGAGGGACTTGTTGCCTTAGAATTGAGCGTCATTATGGTCAGTAGAGCTGGAAGTAGGACACATTACACCATGTTAAAAATAAGGAGACAAATGACACAGTTTGCTGTTTAAAGAGGCAGCAGAGTCTGGTTATTGTATTTATCTAGTGGGGTTCTCCTGTACAACTCTTACAAGAAATAAAGTTGCAACAAATGACTTAATGGAGTCACCAAAAACAGCAAACAAGTCATTTTAAAAGTGGTT